GAACATATGAACAAGGGTCTCAAAAACTAGGTAGGTAACAAAGAAAGTAAAAACGATAAAATCACAAAAAACTAAAGACAGGCCGAATGGCCATGGTCAAAGACCAGAAATGGCCAGAAGAGATCCAAGGCCGGAAACAAAAACAAGACACCATCGGCATAAGCTCAAAACACAACGCAGCATCGCCTCGACAGTGGTCTACCATATGTCCTCGGTGCTCTGCACCATCTCCATTGTCGGCGTCTTGGGCTCCAGCCGCCGCATCCGCTTCCGGTCCGCCTTGGTCACCAGACTCGGCGTCATCGGAATCACGGGCGAGAACGGCTGGTACGGCGTGTAGGGCACCGGGGCGCCCGTCCACGGCGTCTGTGAGCCCGTACCAAACCCGGGCGACAGGGGCTGGGCGCGCTCAAAGACGGTCTGCTTGGTTTGGTTGTGCGTGGCAAACGAGGGCGACGTGATGGCGGGTTCGTAGGCACGGAGGGGGAGGCCGCCGCCGGTGCGCACGGCGGAGGGGGCGTTGCTGCGGCCGAGGCCGGAGACCGCGGAGGACGACGAGGGAGAGGCCGAGGCGAAGACGACGCCGGTCGGCGACATGGGCTGGTTCAGGCCGGAAAAGGTCGTCTTGGTGGCCCGCGGCGAGGCCGGCAGAGACGCCAGCGACGGGAACCGGTTGACGCCCGGCTTGGGCGACGTGGGCAGGCCAACGAGAGGTGCTGACGAGTCCACCGACGTGTTGGAGACGCTGGAGACACCAGAGACGGCCGAGACGCCGCCCGACGGTGACACGGCCGACAGCGGCTCGTGTGCGTGGGCCGACGTGGTGGCCGTGACCAGAGAGAGGTTCCGGGGCGGCATCGGTTTGTTCGGGGACGCGGAGCCAGGGCCCGCGCCCATCGAGGCACCGATCCGCTCGTCAATGCTCAGCGTGCTCAGCGGCGACGTCTCGGGCGTCGGCTGCTGCGTCGGCTGCTGCGTCGGGACAGGCGGCGGAGCGGCCGGGGCATAGTGCCGCGGCGAGATGGGGTTCATCTCTTCCGCCTCGACGTAGCCGCCGCCGTTGCCGTACCCGTAGCCGCCCGGGGCAGCGCCGTTGGGGGCCGCAAACCGTGGGAAGGTCCCCGACATGGGCGTCATGATGGGCGACGAGATGCTCACCCCTTGCATCTTCTTCTTGCCGCGCGGCGACTTGAGCGCCGACAGGATCGACGACGCGCGCGATGTCCGTTCTGAGCGTTCGGGCCTCTCGCCGTCGCCCGTCAGCACGAGGTTGGCCGGCTTCGACTTGACCTTTCGGAGCAGTGTCGAGGTCGAGCTGGTCGACTCGTCCTTGCGGTGGATGGGGTAGTAGTGGCTCTGTGGCGGCAGCGACGTTGCGGGGCTCGGGTTGTTGAAGCCCACATTGGCGCCCGGGTTGGCCACAATCGGCGAGCTGCGCGTGCTGTTGCTCCCCGACTGCGGGCCCAGCGACGCCGGTGGGTGGTGCAGGACCACGCCGTTCGCCTTGGCCTCTTCCTGCTCCATCACGTACTTGTACATCTGCTCCAGCTGTGATTGCGCCATCTCGCGGTCGGCCGTCACAATCTCCTGGTCTACCGACGGATCGACGCCGGGCACGCGAAACGACGACGCGTACGACGCCGACAGGTACAGATTGCTCTTGGCGTGCAGGGACGACACAACGGTGCCGCCGTGGGTCTCGGTCGGGCTGACGGAGTGGTCGAAGTGGGACGCCGCGTAGCCGCTGGGATCAAAGGCGCCCCCGTTGCTGTTGCTGTCGTTGCCGTTGAAAAATCCCGGCGTCTTCACGGCAAACGGCACGACGCTGTCTTGCAGCTGCAGGGTCTCGGGATGGAATTCGAAAGCAAACGCCTGCGAGGGCTGGAGGTCGTCAAACTCTTCGCCGGACTGCAGGTGTTCGCGGCGGCGCTTGGACAGCAGCAAGAGGGCGACGGCGACGACCACGAGGCAAAAGGCGTACGAGCCAACGATGCCGCCGATCTGCGCGGGAAGGTAGGCGGTGTCGGACAGCGGGGCGGGCAGGCCGTCGCGGGTGCGGTGTGATGAAGCAAAAGCGGCGACGTCCACGTCGCGCTGGATGACAGAGGCCGAGACGACGGCGAACGAACAAGTCAAGGGCGAAGCGAAGAAGAAAAGAGTGGATGCCTGGTGATGTCGACTCGTTCGCATGTTGGAGGGAAAGAGAGGAAAGAGGAAAGGGGAGAAGGAGAGAGGAAGGGCGGGTGGGATGTTATAAGGATGGTAAGATAGTAACAAAATGGAGGGACGAAACGTCTCCGTCTCGATGTTGTTTATGTTTTGTCTTTTCTGGGTCTGTTTCTGCTTGTGTCCACGGTGAAGATCGCCGAATCCCCAAGGAGACTCAAATGATGAGACGCATGATGCAGCACAAGGGACACTTTGCGAGGGGGCTGAACAAGGGGAGGGACAAGAAAGAGGAGAGAAGGAAAAGGAGAATGGGGATGTGGAGTGGTGGGAAACAGCCAAAGGTCCAAAAGGGATCAAAAAGGAGAAATGCGTATCACAGAAACCCCGATGGGCACCGCGGGACGCACGTCGTATATACCGTCCTCAGCGGCTGGTGATACTCGAAGTCGTTTGGGGCAAGGCCCACCGATGGACCGACACATCTCAATGCTGCGCAAGGTCGAGGAACCGGCCGTGTCCCTCGCCTTTGTTTGCTGGCCACTCGCTTCCAAGAGCAACGACAATCACACTTGTTGACCCGCTCTTCTTCCTGCTGTCCCCTCTCGCTCCGTCACTCGTTGTGATGAAGAGGGCGGCTGGAGGTGGTGCTGAGCGTGGGCTGGCACTGGCCTGGACGTCGACCCTCATCCCAGCAGGGCGCCCCATTGGCTGTAGACCCTGGACGGTGCCGGGCCGCCCACGAGCCAATCCGCCCGGGGTGCTAAGCGCCGGCCTTCGGGGCGCTCTTTCCTCTTTTGATGGCAATTGGTGTGCGTGTGAAATGATTGGCTATACCGTAGTGGTGGGCCCCACTTAGGTCCCTTAGGCTCCACTTTATGTCTGTGTCGACCTGGGCTCCTCTCCCCGCCATTTCACATTGTGTGCCGTGTGCCCTGTTCCCTCTGGGATGCATTGGCTGCAGGCTCATATTTCTCTTTTTTGCGTCCAACTTTGCTTCCTTGGTTTTATCGTCCCTGTCAATTTTGCACTGTTTCGCCTCGGATGGTAATTTGAATGCGGATTCTCAAGATCTGATCTTGTTGGGGGTGTCTTATGTTCCTCACATACAGAGGATGTGTGGCTTTGAAGTGATTATCGAGCGTCGTTGGCTGAGAGGTTGGGGGAAGTTCGACACACGACTGCCCACTTCCTAAAAATAACTATCCAAAGGGCCGCCAGGCCCAAGTCCAGACTGCTCCCTGCAATGTGCGTGGTATGGGACAAGCTTTCTTTGAGCAGGGGACTGGGCGCCTCGTGCTGTCTCTCTCTCTCTCTGTTTCCTTTCATTCATGCACTTTGTCCCAAATTCGTCTCCCCACCATCACGTTTGTGAATGCCGTGATCATAACTCCTTGCAGATGCAGCATTGTGCAAGCGAGCAAATCTCGAAAGTGTACTGTTACCATCATCGTGGCGACTGCCGGCCCTCTACAGGAGATCGCCATACGAAGCGCTGTTGACTATGATCGGCATCGCATTGCACCTGTGAAAGATTCGATCACAGTCACAGTCACCTACTCTCCAGTCTTCTGGTTGGGCCATGGAAAGTGCATGGCCCTTCAACATACGTGAGGTGATTGTATTTGTTTCCCTTCGTTTCCGGTCGCAGTGGGGGCCAAAAATGGTGAACCAAACACCGATGTGCTTTAATAACATTGAACAATGCAATGGACCAAAAAAACGTCAAAGAAAGATCGACATGGCCTTTATCTCCATTGAGTCTTTTGCACTTGACATTCATGCCGGCAGGCACGCATTTGTACCGGCGTAATTTAACATACTTCTTCCACCACAGTGACAGGCAAAGACAGGCGGGGAAGCAGGCAGATATTCAAGGCCAAGGTCACGCACCACACTCACAGCACCCAGTGCACAGACCTATGATGTGACGGAATTTACGCCATTCCATTCGATTGAGCAGAGAATACCACCCTAACCGACCTGTCCTTGCTAATGTCCCATTTCAATATTCAATGCTTTGCTTACTACGGAGAACCGACCTATCATCATTGATGTCCCTCCTCCGCCAGCTAAGTGAAAACAGTGGCACATTGTACAGAAGTATCACTTTTGACATGGTGACAGCAGGCAACTTCTCCAGAACGAAGAAAAGGTGAAGAAACAGACCTTTGATGGGATTAACCATGTTGTCCTATCTTAGACAGAAGGAGAAACAATGCAGTGTTTACGACTTATTACATGGCTGTATATTTCGTTGGTACACGTGGGTTCTAGTAGTTGAACATTGACAACAGCTCAGAAAGCAAATACAAAAGAAAAGTCCATATCTTGCCTTACTGTCTCTTTAAAAGGGCAATTAATAATTTGTAATTGTTGTCAGTCATATAATTTTTTCATCAAGGGTTTCTTTCTTTCTTCATTTTTCATCACCGTATTATTTTATCATTTTTTTAGCGTAAAGGTGCTCAGAAATAACTAAAGAAATTCCACGGAATATAACAGCAATGCACTTCAATGAATACAAAGATTATACGAAGTACGTGTAATACAACTTTTGTCGGGCACAAAGCAAAAAAAACAGCACTATCACAAAGGAAGATGACTCAGAACTGTAAAGCGTATCACGGCATGTTCCCGAAAAATATCATTATCCAAAAACCGCTGTCTGTATATCATAATCAATAAAAAAAAAAAAAAAAAAAAAAAAAAAAAAAAAAAAAAAAAAAAATAAAAACCAAAGGTGCCACCGAAAAAGAAATACCCAAAAAAATCAGTGTGAACGAAAACAATAGCTAGATTATAACTCAAGAAGCAGAGACACAACATGCCGTCTATGCTTTGGCGTCGCGGTTTGCCGCCTGCACGACAAGAACGCTCGCCTTGGGCTTGGCATTGATCACGTGCGCACCTGCTACACCAACCGTCTTGGACAGTTCGTAGCCCGAGGACGACGACGATGACTCGCCAACCGAGCGGTTCGCGCGGCTGTCGTGTAAGCGGCTGTGCCGGCGACCGACGACGATCAGGTCGCCTGCGTTCCTGGGCGCCTGGCCCACAGTCTTAGACGCATGCTCCACGACATTGTCCAGCACACTGCTGCTCTTGCCGTGTGCGTGAATGTCGACAAACGAGACACGCTCAGCCAGGTCGGCAGGCAGCGATGACTGCAGGGTGGCCAACAGGCCCAGGTCCTGTGCCGATGGCTCGTCCTCAAGGGCGGCTTCCTTGCTCCTGATCGCGGCCTGGGTGGGGTCTTCGGCGTAGTAGCCGCCGTGGGCTTGCCCAGGGACGCTGATATCGGCAGTGGCGGCGTCGCTGCTATTCCATGTGACATGGGCAATGGTGGCCGTGATGTTTTTGTTCTTGGCCAGCTGGAGGACAAAGCGCAGAGCGACACGGTCGTCGGCGCCCCCAAAGAAGGGAAGGAAGACACAGTGGCTCTTGTTGGCGACCGGGAGGACGGCAGAGTTCCGCTGGCTGTGCAGGGACATAACCGAGATTGTACGTGAGAGCAGGGGCCGGTCGCCAGTGTGCGCGGATGAGGAAGCGGCGCCACCGAATCCGTTGTCAATGAAAACACCCGTGTTGCAGACCGCCTTTTCCAGCGTGGCATGAACAAAGTCCAGGTGGGAGCGGTCGTTGAAGCGGTCGGCACTGGACGTCGCGGTGACTACAGTAGACGGGTCGTCGATGACCTTGTCACCCCACGGAATCAGAACGAAGTCGGAGGATGTCTCGGTAGCCTCGGTGGCCAGTGTCTCGGGGAACGAAGCAGCCGGAACAACAGCCACCTGTCCAGAGACGGCCACATCGTGGAGTTGTGAGAACGTGCGGAAGGTATTGACGACGGGATCGCGCCGGGCAAGCTCGTCCACCTCAGACACCTTCATGACGGACGATGTACGGTCGGTGAGCTCGAGAATGCGAATGCCGTGCACCTGGAGATGACGACGCGGGGGAGACTCGACCTGTGGCTGCGGCTGCGGCTGCGGCTCTTCGTCCTTTTTGGCAACAATGGCATCGTTGGAAGGCATATTGGAGTCTCCCAAGAGGGAAATGAAGGTGAACAGGCTGGGAAGGCTGTCGAGGCGGAGGTAGACAAGAAGGCGGCGGACCTGAGTCTCGTTGAGCTTGTCGACGGACGCGTCCTGGCTGGAACTCTCTGATCCAATCGGGTTGCCGTCCCAGTCAATCTCGCCACGTCGGAACTTCTCGACCTTCTGCTGGTACCACAGCGGGTACAGGAGCTTCGTCAAGGGTGTTGTCGCAACAGTTGTGATGACGGCCATGACAACGAAGATGGTGAACGTCCGCTGGGACAAAATGTGCGCCTGGTAACCAATGTTCTAAATGGGCTTGTTAGCACTTGTCACTTAACAGCAGCACCCGATAGTAAGGAGTTGGGGAGACGGGTGTTACGTACCAGGACAATCAGCTCAACGAGACCCTTGCAACTCATGAGGACACCGATACTGAGACTCTCGCGCCAGAACATATTGGTGAGGCGGGCCGAGAGAGTACCACCGATGATCTTGCCGAAGAAGGCGACGGCAACGACGCCGACGACATAGGCCCAGGTGATACCGTCGTTCAGAAGGCCGAGGTTGGTGCTGAGACCGGAGAGGGCAAAGTAGAGCGGGAGGAAAAATGCCGAGATGAAGTCCTCGAGCTTCTCGGTCAGTTTGATGGCAAAGCCGCCATCGTGGGGGCATATAATGCCGACGAGGAAGCCACCAAAGATGGGATGGACACCAATAATGCCGGTAAACCAGGCAGAGCCGAGCACAAGCAGGATGGTAACACAGACCATGGACTCGGACGGGCCGTTCTGCAAGCTGCCGTTGCGGCGGAGCAGCCAGACGAAAGCGGGGCGAATGGCAAAGACGAGACACAAGATCCAGCCGAACACAACGAGCAGAGCCCACAGGGCTGTCAGACCGCTGCTGTTGTTGACTAGGGCGACACACAGTGCTAGCAGGATCCAGCCAACGACGTCATTCCCGACACCGGCCGCCAGGGTTGTGACACCGACAATGTTGCCCAGCAGGTTCAGCTCGGTGAGAATGCGGCAGAGAACCGGAAAGGCGGTAATGGCGAGCGCGGTGCCGACAAAGAGGCCGAAGACACCAAAGCTGATGGGCAAGGTACCGGGCTCGTTGGCGAACTGGTGGTACATGCCGTAGGCAATAGCGTAGCCCAGGCCGAAAGGTAGGGCCATGCTAGCGATGGAGACACTGACGGCAACGCGCCAATTGCGCTTGAACAGACGAACATCGACCTATTTTATGGGTGTGTGAGTCTAGTGTGTGTGGTTTTGTACGCGAGAAAAGAATCAAGGAGAAATATGAGGTACCTCAAGACCGGTCAAAAAGAGGAACAGGATGAGACCAAGGTTTGCGACATTGTTGAGGACGGGCATGCTGATGGTGGGGAAAATGTTGCTCTGGAAGCCGGGGATGCGGCTCAGGACGGAGGGACCAAGCAGGATGCCTCCGATGACCTCTGCGATGACGCGCGGCTGGCCGATGAGGCGCAGAGGGTAGGCCAGCAGGCGGCAGAAGACGACGATAATGGTCGCCTGGACGATAAACAAGATGATGGGATTGGCAGCATTGTAGACGATGGGATTTGCGCCGTCGAGGACGCCGGCCTGTGGTGACGCACGGAGAGTGGATGTAGGTGACGAGGTCGAAGTAGCCGAAGACACAGTCGACACCACGGTCGACAAAAGTGTCGTCGTGACGGTCTCCGTAGTGGCCGCCATGGCTACCAGACGAGAGTCCTTTCGAAAAAGCAGAAAGACGAGAGTCCGGCCGGCCGTGCGTATGGTCAACGGCGGGTGTGTGTGGCAGACACTCGTGTGGTATGTGCTCCTTGTTGGTCGACGTTTGTCCACGGCGACGGTCGACTCTCACAAGAGCAGCGAGTCAACGAAGGTCCAAGAACAGCCAAGACGAAGAAGTGAGACTAGAGAGAAATATGAGAGACGAAAGAGAAAAGTACGACATATATACGTCGTATATAAGAAAAGAAGAGCAGGAGCAGGAGAGCTCGTCAGAGATCCCCGGCTAGAAAGGGTCCAGCCAGAAGCGTCGGCAGACGGCGTGGTGGTGGTGGTTTGAATTGGCGCATGCGCAGTCGATCCGTGCCAATCCTGAGAGCTTGGTCGCCAAGGTCGTATCCTGGCGGGGAAAGCTTTGGGGAAGGGGTGGTCGAAACAACCGTCGATAACAAGAAACAAACCAGGAAAAAAAGAGCGTTGTAGGTCGTGATGGAAGAGATACGAAGGGAAGCAGAGAGAAAAATAGGGGAAGGCAACATGGGAGATTGATTCTCGCTTGAAAACGGAAAGAACTCTATTCTCGTCGAGAACAGCAGGAGCCAACATGTCAGTCGGGCGTGGCTTTTAGCTTCGTCTTTGTTTCTCTATCCTTAGCACAGCCAGCTGCGACAATTGACAATTTGGGATAGCTGGACAAGAGATAGGACCAGTTGCACCACGACCATTGATAGCATGTGGCGCTGGAACATGACTTTCCTGTCTGTTGGGCTGACGCATTTCTTTCCCTTCTCCCCAGTGGCGCCTGTTTCCGATACTCGCTCCTTCTGTGATCCCGTCTTCGTCCTTTGCTCTTGCCGCACTGGTAGTTGTCTCTTTCCTTCCGAATCACCTGTTCCCTTCCATCGCACCTTCTTGTAGCATGGTATTGCACCCCTCTCCTACTTTCCTTTTCCATTTGTATCTAAGCGCTAGTGCCCGCAGGAAAGTGCAACCCGGTACGATGCGGCAGGCATTGACAGTTTGGCGGGGAGACGTACTTTCTTATTTCGCCTGCCTCGACCTTGCACGTGAAGCTTATGCAGCCATGCCCCAGATGATTTTCGATCTTCAGGGTCGTCCGTGGCCATGTGTCACGCATCTACCGTGGTTTGCAAGAGAGCACGTCGTAGTTGTGGACACTGTTTTAGGCCCTAGATTGTGTCACTACATACGGCGTGCGACGTAATTACTCCTTAGTACATATGTATTATCGTCTCGCCAAGATGCGTTCTAGACTCGGAAAGAGCCACTGGCTACATTCTTCTCGTCCCCAGTGTCACGTCTTACTGGACCCTTATCAAAGTTCTCCCAGGGCACGACTTGTTCTACCACTCCAGCGCCCGTGCATTGGCTCCCTGCAGCCCCGAGTCGGGGCGCTGTATCGTCTAACCCGTCCTGCATGCTTGGCTTCCACGATAGGCTAGCAGGCGAGCTCGTCATCCTTGGGGAACGGAAAAGAGAGGTGACAAAAGCTAAAGTAGCAGGGGAGGGGAGGAGATGGAGGAAGAAAAGGATGCAAAAACCCGCTTCCACGAAAACCTGCTTCGCTTGTTACAATTGACAATATTGGACGCCTGCATTCGTTAAGGCCTGGACGTACATACGGCGGTCCAAGTAGCGGTATGCAAAGAGAGGGCAAGAATCGAGGAGCCAAGGAGGGTCATGCCGACCGTTTGGCAGGTGACAAACATTTGGAGAAGCGCATGGAGACGAAGTACATACTCAGAGAAGGGAGCTGTGAAATAGAAAAAAAGCGAAAAGGGGTGGGAAGTACCGTTTAAAACGGGCGAGCAGAAGCGCATTACATGGGACGTTTTCCCCTTTGCAAACGTTACGACGTAACTTGTACTACACACACCGTCAGTACTTGGTCGTCGGGTCTGTTGGAATCACAACACTCTCTACGGGTTGCAACGAACTGGCTTTGGAGGCTGCCAACGCCTGTCGGAAGTGGTAGTAGTGTAGGTCCAATTTGAGGAATGAACTCTGACCTGGATAGGTGATCTTGTGGTATTCCTTATCAAAAATTGGAGCAGGAAGCTATAAAACTACTCTACAAAATAATCTACTTCGCAGGATATCATTTAGTTGTATTTTCGTTACACTTCAAGCGTTTTAATGGAAATATTAGTTTATATATACAAGGCCACTCGAACCTCGAGCGGCAGAAAAGAACAGAATATAGGGAATTTGCAGGCCCTTCAGGAGATACCTTGGTTTTGCCTTCCTCCATTCTCTTCCACCGCTTTCTTTTCCCGTTTCTGCCCTCCTCTGTTGCCCTTGCGTTTCTATGTTGCCCGCGATTTCTCCACTCTAGTCCCCCATTTTTACACTATTTTGATATCTTACATGCGTAGGCATACCCTGCTTTGGTGATGCTAATAATGGACGAGAGTTCCGTTGAGACCATGAGGGTGACACGGTATTAGGGGCGGCAATAGACAAACTCGACGGACGAGAGGTGCTCTCCAAACGACCATGCCTGCTATTTGTCCCCATACGGACAGTCCTCAAGCCGCGTGAAGCTCCCGTCTAAACTGCCCATAAGCTCGAAACAGGACCGTAACCATTATCCGATGATTTGTCTCCCGCTGGATCATTCTCGTGCATCGTCCTTCGTCACGGTCCCGTCTGATGAAAATTAAAAAAAATGAAACAAAGAAAAACAAAGGACCAACGCCAGAGCCAACGCCCCAGACAGAAACAACGCGCCGAAAAGTAAAAAAAAAAAGGAAAAGAAGAAATAAGAAATAAGAAATCGCCAGCTGAGCGACCAGTGTAGCCGTTTTCTTCACCTGCCTTTTCGTGTAGAACGGATATCGTTGTGTTGAACGGTTGCTGGCATGGCAGAAGACCCGTATGGGAGAGACGCAGGGGAGAAAGCTGTACCGCCACCAGATCGCAGGCCAGTTTAATATGTGAAAAGGAAATAAAAAAAGAGATAAGAGTCGCGGTTGAGAACAAAGCAACACCGAAATGCGTCCAGTAAACACCCCGATCCATTTTTTTCTCTTAAGAAACGACAACGTCACGGGAAAAATGCCAGAAAAAAAAATCCCTGAGGAATACAAACTCAAAACGCCATTGGGGGATTGTGTATAGGAAGCAGCTGATTCTTTTGTACCTCATGTTTCCCGTAGTCTCCAGAAGACCACAGACAAAAAAATGGGTAAAGCAAGGCATGAGACGTATGTGCAAGAAGCAAAAAATGGGGAAAGCGCGAACTGTTGTCTCATGACGATGTCGGGGATGGAGCCCGAAAAACAATGTATAAAGCCGTGGGTATGTGTAATAAAGAAACAGAAAAGGGTATATGTGAAGAGCAGGCTAGAATGTCCCGGGGCAGGGAACCATCCTTCAATGCACTTCGTCACTTTTGTTTTCGTACAACATCTTGACCGTTCTTATGTTCGGTCGTCATCTAAAGCCTTCGCGTGGGAAGTCGAGAATCCAAGGCGGCCTCTTGCCGCTTGGCCCGGGAGAGTCAAACGTCGGTTGTTCAGTTTTCAGCTGCTTTGACGGCCGGCACGCAGGGGGGTTGCAGAGACCTTTTTTTATGTAAACAAGACAAAAAAAAGATCGCACTCTAGATGGAAGGGTGGCCGGATCCCGCATCAACAATGTTATCGGACAGGTTGATCAGCAGCTGAGCTAGGCAGCGCTTAGTGGCCGCGTCGTCGCGAAGGACGGACGAGAAGGTCGCGTCACGTAGCGGTTCGGGGAGGCACTGGCGTAGGGCCTCGCGGGCGCGGGCGTTGTCGGACAGGCGCAGGAAGCAGCGCACGACATGCTTGAGAAGGCGGGCCGTCTGCTGCTCGACCAGCTGTCCAACCATGTTGCTGAGGACGGTGCCGACGGCGTAGAAGCGCTCGTAGGTGGCGCAGATGTAGTTGAGGCCGTTGTCGTCGAGAAGGATCTTTTGGACGATGAAGATGGCCACCGTCTTGCTAAGCTCCGAGCCGGTCTCCATGATGCGGAGACACAGAGGGATGATCTCGGTCGTCAACAAGAAATTGATCACCTCGGAGGAGTCATTCTTAACCAACGCTCCGATGACGCCAAGACTTGTCAAGCGAAGGTATTCGAACGGCCGCGACTTGGACGTCGTGTTGAGGAACGGGTAGAGGAAGAGGGGGATATGCGCTACGTGACAAGGGGAACATTAGCACTCGGCCCTTCCGTCAGAGACGGCATTGGGGGGGTGTTTAGAGATCGGCTTACCGCTCAGGAACAGCGTGCGCGTGTCGTTGTGCGAGGCCACGCACTGGAGGAGCGCCAGCGCGTTGCAGACACGGTTCGATGCAGCCGCGGTGAGCTGCGACGGATTAAGAAGCGAGTACACCGAAATGATCTCCTGAATCAACGAGGTCATGACGCCTAGTGCAGGGTGAGTTGTTAGTATGACCAACCAAGGGGTGCTGCCGTGTGCGCGGTGCTCGACATTTTCGTCGACTCACCAAATGAATGCCACAATATAAGGGCCAGCTCCGGCACCTGTTCGCGCTTTTTGCTGAGCTCCAGCAGGGCCGCCTCCCGCGTGTTCTCGTTCAGCAAGTCGGCAATGTAGCTCATCGTGCGGCGGTTGTCCTCCGACACGCCGTCGAGCGCGCCGTCGGGACCGCCATGGCCGACGCCAGGGGCCACGGCACCAGCACCGACACCGGCATTGACGCCCACACCGCCCAGCGCGCCCGCCGCGCCGTGTTGCCGGTTGGCAATGTGGCTGTACTGCTGCTGCTGGTGTTGCTGGTGTTGTTGCTGCTGTTGGTGTGCTTGCTGCTGTTGGTGCTGGTGCTGGTGCTGCGCCTGCTGTTGCTGCGCCTGCTGTTGCTGCTGCTGCTGCTGCTGCTGCTGCTGGGCGGCGGCGACGGCTGCTTGCTGCTGGTGATGCGGGTGCATCCACGCCGAGTCCTGAGGCGTGTATTGCTGGTGATGACCTCCGTAGAGGTGCGCGTTCGGCATCATCGTTTGCAACAGTTTGAAGGGGGGCGGGCGCGAAGGAGAGTGCTCTCTCTTCGTCCAGCCGGGGGTATAGGATGTATGAGAAGAAAAAAGAAAGCTTGCAATCGGCAAGCTATGTGCGTCGGCAGCCCGTCTCCAATGAGAAGCTGAAATGGTTAGTCCAAGCTCGGGCAGGTGCTCGGGACGCTGCTGACGAATCCGATGTCGTCGGAAGGTTTGTCGGTGGAATCTCAACGGTAGGCTGATGGAAAGCAGCTGAGCGCGCCTTCTATCCGTCGTTCACGTCTCGGTCGAGACTCTCGTCCGTGGCTAGACAATGGTGTCCAGCTCGTCTTGTCGTCAAGACAATGGAGGTCGCGTCGGGTCTCGGGAAAAGGGAGACGTCGAAAAGGGAGTTGGTCGAAGGTGATTTGCTGGTCCCCCAGGGATGGCGCGGGAAGAAAGAAGCAAATAAAACGGATGCACGGGGCCGCTTGGGTTCGGAATGGGTTGGGCAGCGCGATCCGATCGTGGCTGTGTGACAAAGACAGGGTGCGCAGGGACGAGTGAGTCGAAATGCTTTGGTGACGAATCAGAAAACCCGGGGCAGAACAGCAATGCGGGAAAAGATGACGGGTGCCGTCGAGCACAGGACTGGCGGACGGGGCAGTTGCCGATGCAGAAGAAATGCAATCAAAATAGGTACTGTGCGACGAAAGGATAGAAGGGCGACGCAAAGCGAGATCCCAGGTTTGGGAGTGGGAGGTGGGAGGTTGTGAATGGCGGTCGCGGTGGTGGTGGTGTTGCAATTGTGTGCCAGAGAAGGATGTTTGCTCTCTTTCGTCGTGTGAGCTTTTTGTTTCGGCACAGCGAAAAGTGAGAGACACAACGGGGCAGGTGCAGTCACTGTTCCGTTGCAGAGGAAAGAGCCAACGAGCGTTCGAGAAAAGAGCCACTGGCGTTGCTTGGAAGGGATTCGAAAGGACGCTATCACCCGCCTAGCCTGGCCAAATCTCTGCCGCGGGACGCTGCGCTGAGGGACATGCGATCGGAAAAACTGCAGGGGCTCCCTGGCGATGTACTTATTTGGTGTCAGTACACTTCAGGTGTACTTTATCGCGCACGGGGCAGAATCGATTGATCCGGTTTAGGCATTTATCACGTGACTACTCCGACCAGCGTCACGATCGGAATTGTGATGCAGAGTCAAGGGCCATTGGGGTCCTTTCGGCATCTTCACTGGTCACGGCTCTCTTTTCCACGTGCGGGGTTTCTTTTATTCATGTAGGGACATGTTTTGAGTACATAGATGTATATGTAGTCATGAGAGAGTTAAGTAGAAAACGAGCCATAAAAACAATTAGGCAGAACGACGTTCAACATGTAAATGGTGGAAGTACGACATGTAAAAGTGACGCAAGAAGTAAACATTGGGAAAGGATGAAAAGTGCAGAGGAGACAGAAAAAAGGCTGCTATTTACCAAGCCATACCCACCAGGAAAGTTCGTCTTTTATAAAAAGTGCACTGGGTGTATTTGCTCTCTGCCAATTCCCATGTATGCCAATGCTCTGTTTTTGCTGCCCAAACCATGAGCCCATTTTGCTGCCTGTCAAGTAAAGAAACGAAGACTTATTTTCAAAAAGAAGAAGGTAAAAGAGAAAAAGAAAAATAATTAAAGAGGAAGCTTGTATGATCGCTGGAGAAGTAGAATGAGGTGCTAAAAAGCAAGGAACAGAAAAAAGCTTGCCAGGTGCCGTCCAAATCAAAGACAAAAAGAATACATTACATGAAGGGCCTTGTGCAACACATCCAGTGGTTTGGAATAGAATATATATATATATATGACGAGAAGCGAACGATTCATAAGGGCGGCAGTCGGAGGGGCGAGGAAGTGAACTAGGGCGACATAGGCCTTCTACAGCTTCAGCTCGCGGAGAATGTGGTCAGCCATATTCTTGTACTGCCAGGTGTTGCCGCTAAGGCGCTTGAACTGAACGCCATGAAGGGTAAAGACGGGGACCTTGACTATGAAGATTTCAAACTCCAGGACCAGGTTACCGCCCATGTCACTGCGGACGTGGGTCGTCGTCTCGCCCGCCGGCATCACGCGGTTGGTCGACTCTTGTGCCAGCCGGGGATCGCTATCCACAGAGACATCCGAGTTGGAATAGTCGGCGTTGCGACCTGCCGGGGTCCGCGGCGTCGTGGGCCCTCTCTCGACGTTGTCTCTCACATTGTCGTCGCGGCTCTGGTCGCCGGCCCGGAGGCCACCAAAGCTGAAGCGGCGACGGTGGCCAGGCATGGCGGGCTGGGGGCTCGTGGGTGCATCGGCCACCTTGTTCAGATCGATACTCGGCGAGTGGCGGCAGTTGAAACCACCCTTGATCTCAACATACTCCACACCCAGCTGCTTGAGCACCCTCTTAATGTCTGCACGGATCTCGCGAACCGGCTTCGAAGAGGTGGTCGAGACGCTGAAGAGACCCTTGAGGTAGACAGGCTTGTCGAGGTCAAAGTCGGCCAACCGCTCGTTGGAAACGCCGCTGTGTTCACCGAGCTCGGCATCTGTCTCCTCAGGCACGTTTGCCTCCCGACCGCGCTCCTCTTCGCGACGCTGGCGCCGAGCCTGGATGCTCTCCCTACGAGCGTGGCTGAGCGGCTTTGTCCGCAGAGAGATGGAACGTCCGTGCATGCTGGCATTGGCTGTCTGCGCCTCGCCGCCGCTCGGCAGCCGGTCGTTGATGGTGGAGTGGTCAGAACCGCTCGTTGCGGGCGGCTCCTTGGCAATTCTGCTGGCAGAGCCACCGATCGGCTGGCGACGACGGCTGAATTCAGCGGAGCTGACGCTGGTCGACCGTCCGAGTCCCTTCTTGTAGCCTGTACTTGGGTCGCCCGCTGAGAGTGGCGGACTGAGGAGGTCCCTGTGCTGTTGGCCCGGCTGACTGCTACCCGATCGCAAACGGGAAACAGGCGAGTCCTCTTCGTCCCGGCGGCTGCGGCGAATACTAAAGCTCTTTCTTGGCGGGACGGGGACATGCTGCGACTGGCTCTGGCTCTGGCTCTGGCTCTGGCTCTGGCTCTTGTTTTGGAAGGCCTGATCAGGGGGCGAGTGCACCTGGACGACGGGCGGATGTGAGCGGTCCTTGTCGAGCCGCTCGGGCTCCTTGGGGCGGCGCCGTGTGCTGAAACGCCGCAGAATGCCAGCGGCCGTGCTCTCCTTCTTGGGCAGATCGTGCTGTTCCTGGTTCGCGGACGGTGACAGAAGGACACCGGCAGTAGCGGCGCCGACGGCAGCACCGGCGGCACCGGTGGCAGCGGACGAGGATTTTCCTCTAGTAGGATCGACTTGGTCGTCCTCGCCATGGGTACGGGAACGAGGGCGCGTCCGGCCACCGGTTGCCCGCTCGCCCGGCATCTCATACGCTGCCGCGTTGGTATGGGCAGCCTGCGGCGGAGCGATATCGGGCAACTGAGCAGCGCTTGTCTTCTCCTTCGATGGCGTCGGCATGACATGGTCTAAACGGTCGCGTTGGTGCTTCTCGCGGACCAAGTAGTACACAGACACGAGGGGGCTGAAGGCATTCAACGGGTCGTTACCCACGGGAAGGCCTTCGGTGCTGGGCGTGGTGAGGGTGTCTCGGCTGTTCGTCGAGTTGCGGCGCTTGTAGAAATCGATAAAGCCGCGCTTGCGTTCGGCGTCCTTGGGAGGGTGGGCCTGCTCCTTCTCCTTTTGGAGCAGACGAACGCTACGCTGGTACTCCTCGGACTCAATCACTTGGGTGAGCTGGGCCTTGATGGCTTCTGGCGAACCAAAGTTGAAGCCGGTCATGGCGTTGATGACGTCCTGCTCGAGCGGCAGAGTGATGGGGCTGCGACGTGGAAGGTAGTTTTCCGGCGGCCCGCTGTACCCCTTAAGCATCCACGGGTGGTTCAAGACTTCCTGCATCGTCGCACGTTGGCGAGGGTCGGTGACGAGCATGCGAGACAATAGATGCTTGCATTCTACAGGGTGGTCACTTGTTAGACAAAACTGAACGACAGACCAAAACAAGTGTCGAAAGAAAAGAGAAACATACCAGTGGACAGCCAGTTGGGGTAGTCGACCAGCCCCTTCTTGATCTTCGTATGCAGGGCGGGGATGCTCTGGTCGTCAAACGGCACCTTGCCGCAGACGAGGACGTAGAGAACAATACCAAAACTCCATATGTCGACCTCGGGACCCGTATAGGCTCTTGCCTGCAGGAGCTCGGGCGCAGCAAAGTAGAGACTGCCACAAAAGGTGCGGAGGTGGCCGCGTGGTGCGAAGAGGTTGCTGAGACCAAAATCGATAATCTTGATGTCGCCCGTCTTGCTGATGAGAATGTTTTCGATCTTGAGATCACGGTGCACGATGGAGTTGCGGTGGCAGTAGTCGAGGGCGCTGGCGATCTGCCGGCTGAACTTGCGCGCTGGCTTCTCCTTCAGCTTGCCGTGGGAGATGATGTAGTCCAGCATCTGGCCCCCGTTGACATACTCGAACAGCATGTACCAGTGGTGGTTGGTGCGGACGACATCACGCAAGCCGCAGATGTAGGGGTGGTTCAGGAGCGTGACAATGGCCGCTTCTCTGGCGGTCCGGATTTCTTTGGACTGGTCGGCACGCTCCTTGTCGGCGCGGGTGGCGTGGTTGTCGTCTGTCGAGCCTCGTGGGATGATCTTACAAGCAACCTACACACGAGCAGAGAACAGTAGTCAGTCAAGAGTATATCAGGTGGGGTATGCACAACAACGACAGCAGCACCGGGGCAAAAGATTGGATCGTACCTGCTCATTGCCATCCTCCTTGGTTGCCAGGCGCACCTTGCCCATGCTGCCAGCACCAATCACCTTGCCAAGAATCCACTTGCCCGATGTCGTGGGAATCGTCGTGCGCGATTTAGTCGGCCTTGACGCGGCCGCACGTGAGTCGGCGCTCCGGTCCTGGTGCCCGTTGTTCTGGGGCTGTGCACCAGCCGCTGCGGCTGCAGCTGCTGTCTGGTTCGAGTCGGCGGATGGGCGAGAGGAAGGATCGTGTCGAGAAGAAGAGCGGTGGCTGCTGTGCCGATGCGGCCGTGACGAGGAGTCTTGTGGGGGGGCGGTAGAAGAGGGCGCCGGTGGCGCCTGTTGGCCCGAGGCATCACGGCTAGAGCTGCGTCTGTGGTATTGGTCGTCGCCTGGTTCATAGCCCTTGCCGTTGCCAGACGAGTATTGGCGGGAAGAGGAATGATGATGCTGCGAGGCCGCACGGGTGGGGACATCACGAGACGGTGGCCGGGAGCGGGTGGACTGGGATCGCGACACGGAGTTGCTGTATGACTTGCCCCGAGGCGACGACAGAGGAGCCTCGGCACCACCGCCAGGTGCCACGCTTGTTGACATGATGCGCCCGTTATGTGTACTCGCGATAGGAGGCAGTCAGAATGAGGAGAGGGAGGGCGGCGGAGGAGAGGGGAGGGGAAGGGGGCAGTCGAAGAAAGCACGTCGCAGGCGGTGACGGAGAATGATAAGAGAAAATAAGAGAAAAGGGGACGTTGGGATGGTGCGGCGTGAGATGGAAGTTTGGTACGAATTAGCTGTGAGAGAAACCCAGACGAACGCCGTGGAGCGGTGCAGGGTGTCAGGGTGCAAAGAGCCAGGTGCGAGGCTTCTGAGCTGTAAGATTGGCAATGCTACTCCGTAAATACAGCTGGTGCAGTGGCCGAAAGACAAAAGGTCGTGCTGGGGGCTGCGGCAGCCGACGGGCTCTGCACCCCTGCGTAGGTGGTTCTTGCGAACTATTGCCCTTGTTGCAGGCGTCCTGTGGGCGGGTCTTGCTCGGAAAAGGCGATTTGGCTTTCGGGTCGACCTGTTTTGCCTCGTGTTGTTTGCCCGTCGTTGATGGGGCGTACTTTTGAAGGTTGAGGATGGGTAGGACTTGGATGAGATGGCTGCCCAAAGCTGAGAGATTGATAGGGAGTATGGGTTCAGGGGGGTGGAGGAAGGACCGACGCAGAGAGGCGGGTGAAGAATGGAAGGAATAAATGGACTGGGAACTGGAAACAGTAGGAGTGGGGACCTGGCCAGCCGCAGTTGCAGATGCGAGGTCGCACTTGCCAGTCGCTGTTTCCTGTGAAGATGTTCGGAGTAGGGAGAAGCAAATAAGAACGCACACGATAACTGGAAAGAAGAAGGCGCGACCGTGTTCGCCTGCGAGGAGCGATGCCCACCGCGAAAACAAGCAAAGAGCCCAGAAGGAAGCAAATTAGCAGGCGGCGACAGAAACTGGGGGGGCGTGCAGGAGCGTTGTGGAGTGAAAATGGAGACGCCCTTGGGGGAGCGATGATCAAGGAAAAGCAGTGCCTGGGCTAAACCAGAATCTGCCCAGTATCTCCGTGTCGTCCAGCAAACGAACGCTGTAGTGGGGCCTGGACTGGCCGCTGTTGTTGGATCCGGCGGAATCGCAGTGGGTAAGACCGCCTAGTCACAAGGAGCTGCACATGCGGAAGGAGCTAAGCAGCGGATAAATTGGGGACTCTGGCTCGTGGTAGCGAACGAACAGCTGGAATGTGCGTCAGCACCGCGCGGAAGGAGCTCGCTGGGCACTGTCGCAAAGCGTCAAAAGTCAAAAACAACGACAGCAGCCACACACACTGTAGACGTCAAGCGGCTGGGTCTCAGACTGATTGTCTCGTCTCGGGAGGTTGACACGCCCGCGTCTCGTCTGTGTACGATGTACGAGCGAACTTTGGACGAAGGAGCCGGCCGAGCAGGCTGCAGCGCACTTAATACACAAAGCAGCCACAAGGATGAAGAGTCACTGTTGGCAACCAGCGCTCCATCTCAGCTCCGTGCAGAAGACAGGCTGCGACGAAGGCGAGCTGGGCAGACGGTCAAAAAACCTGACGGCAAGAGACGACGCCAACAAAACTGCGCAGCAGAGCAGGACCGGGCCAATCGTCGGTGGCGTTCCTTGCAGTTGGCTACACAAGTATGCACGACGACAATTGCGCGGATAGGTGCAGAGTGGCAGGTCCAATGTTTGGTTGAGAGTTGGCCTTACAGGATTGGGCGACTTGGCCCCAGCTCCAAGTTCATGACTACGATGTATAGCTTCGTGAGGGGAATGCATGGTACGGAGTGGGAAGCGATCAGCAAACAACTTTCTACAAAGTACAAGCGTCCGTCAACAAAGTCATGAGATGGCAACTTTCGTCGGCATGTGCTGCACTTTTTGTATCGAACAGAAGAAAGCAAGGCACTGTTGATTTATCTTTTTTCTTCGGTGGCCGGCGCCGAGGAGCCAAAGAATTCCGACATCAGCAACATTAGCCGCAGTTAACAGGCGTTATCTTTCAGAAGCATAGGAAGAGCAAACGCACCCTGTTCTGTGTTTCAGGGTGTATCCAGGCACAAGACCATGAGGCTAAAAAAGGCAGCCCACGCAATACGAGAGAAGCGGCGTCGTACGCAAAAGACTTTGTCGGACGCGTCAACGGTCGTCTGTCCACAATTCACATGGACACCGATGCCGACTTGAAGCCCTCTTCGAAAAACGACGTCGTATCTCTGTCCTCCTTGGGCCAGGTCCTTTCGGGCACGCCCGTGCTTCGAATCTGTCAAGCCAAGCACAGACATTCCGGCATCCAAGCCCAAAGGTTTCAGTGCGCTCCAGGCCCCAGGCTCGAGCTCCCCGCAAGATCGGTTCGACTTTCCGCTCCAGTGATATCATCCCATTCCCTCACCTCCGACCATGATACTCACTTTCCCCTTCCAGCCTTGACAAACAGGATGGTGCGGGTGGGGTTCCAGCCGTTTCTCTGCGGTCCTGCTTGGCCTCTTGGTCACGCCTTGGCTTTCGGATGGCAGGACCGTAGCAGGCCGGCCCGTGATAAGTGAACTGAAAACAGGACTTGTCACTTGTTTTGGTTTTATTCATTCGTGTTTTTGTCAGCGATGACGAGGGATGCTGCGTCTGCTATAAACCTTGTCAGTTGAGCACTAAAGTTGCGGTGTCGCGGAGCAAAACGACTTGTGATGGAATACTAGATAACCTTCTCCAAGGCGTACCTTCCGGACGAGCTCTATTGCCTCGCCTTATTCTTTCCTTTTTCATCCACGTCCTTTTTCCGTATTCGCAGTGGATTGCCCTTGCCTGGAATGTAAATCATGCGCTCGTGCTTTCCGTTTACAGCACAACGGCGTACATCACACTAGCCTTCAGGGGCGGAGCCAATCAGGAAGTAGCGCTGTTCTCCTTGAGTTCGGTGCCTGCTTTGAACTTCTTCCGCTTTTGGAGCACAGGCAAACGAAGACCTGCCTCAACGACACAAACCACGCCGAGACGCCGACTATCACTCGCCTCCCCTACCGGAGATTGCAGCCGCACGTCCATTCCCCGAGAATGCTATAATGTCCAAGAGATCGCGTGCGCTCTACGAGGCCGACCTCCAAGCACAGCAGTCGCCCTACGTCGCCTTTGGCAGCGCACTCCCGCCGATCGACCCCAGCGTGCGCGACGATGGCTCGTACGTGCCCGTGTGGAAGCAGGAGGTGAGAGACGCGCAAGGCCGCCGGCGCTTGCACGGGGCGTTTACCGGCGGCTGGAGCGCCGGGTACTACAACACCGTCGGCTCCAAAGAAGGATGGACGCCTTCGTCGTTTGTGTCATCGCGGACGAATCGCCACAAGGACAGCCCGCATGCCGCCCAAGGATTTCGGCCGGAGGACTACATGGACGAGGAGGACCTGGCCGATGCCGAGGAGGCACGCACGATCCACACGTCGGGTGGGTTTGCCGGCCTGGGCCTGACGGCGGACGACACGTCACGGCCCGGGCCAGGCAGCGGTGATCTTCTCGCCGGCCTGTTTGGCGGCGCGAGGGGCGAGACCATGGGCACGAAGCTGCTCAAGAAGATGGGCTGGAAAGAGGGGCAGGGCATTGGGCCCAAGGTCCGCCGCAGCGCACGGCTCGATGTCGGTGGCAGCCGGGCCGACGGCAAACCCACGAAATCGGGGACGTACCTCTTTGCGCCCGAAAATGTCGCCATGATCCGGCTCGTCAAGAAGACGGACCACAAGGGTCTGGGGTTTCAGGGAGAAGGCCGGCTGGGGTCGGCTGCATCGCGAGGGGACGCCAACAGCGACGACGATGACAGAAGCGACGACGATGCCGACAGGGACGACAACGGCATCACACGCGGCTTGTTTAGCCGATCCAAGCTCCTTGGCGGCAAAGCAAAGGACAAGTCGTCAAGGTCGGGCGGCATTGGTCTAGGCGTGCTCAATGATACGGGGTCGGACGATGAAGACCCTTATGACATGGGCCCGCGAATCTCCTTCAACCGGGCGATTGGCGGCGACAAAAAGAAAAAGAAGTCCAAACACGCCAGCAGCTTGCGCGACGACATCGAAGCAGGCGACCGCAGCACAGTTGTCAAGCCCAAAGTGGTCTTTTCGCGGTCATCGGGTCTAGGGAGGGGATCGTCTCGGGTGTGCCACGACGGCCGCCCGCCATTGCAAGGCTTCGTGCTGGGAAAAAGAGCAGACGCATTGACCGCAGATGTCAGCGCCTCCTCCAAGTATCCGCCACCGGTGATTCCCCCAGGATGGAAGTCATCCAAGCAGCCCCGCGGCGAAGCGGCGACGGCAAGCGCCGGTACGCGGTTCCAGGCCGACGGGGCCTACCGTTCGACGGCAGACGCTGCCAAGTCATCTACACTCAACCCCAAAGCGCGTGCGGCGGTGCTGGGCGAAGCCCAGCTACCTGGCAAGTCTGTATTTGACTTTTTGTCGCCCGAGGCGCGCGACCGCATTGCCGCCGCCACCGGCCGCCAGGACCTGCCCGAGGCACGCAGCGAGATCCCGGCCGAGTACGCTCTGAGCGAGCAGGAGAAGCGCGACCAGCTTCTCCAGGCCGTGCCATCGCTCGACAAGGCGACTGCCGTGGCCGCCATTACACGCGGCGCCCGTGGCGGCGGGCCCTACCAGGACAACGAAGCCAAGCGGTCCCGGTATCGGGCGTACCTCGAGTTCCAGGCCGGCATCGCCCCAGCACTGCCGCCCAAGCCGGCGGGCATGAAGGACGACGACTGGCTGCGCGAGGCGCACGAGTTTTTCAATTGTGCACGCATTTTCAAGCCCATGTCGGGGCTCATGGCCTCGCGGTTTACGACATCGACATCGGCGTCGTCGTCGGCCATGAGCACGGCCGTGGCGGCTGCCGACGGCGACAAGGCGGCCAACCTCGTCACGCGCCCAGCGCCCAAGGTGCAAGACCCGGCCGAAGAAGCAGCCAAGATGGGTATGTACGGGCCGATGACACGGACGGTCGGCGAGTTTTTCCCGACGCGGCTGCTGTGCAAGCGAATGGGCGTCAAGCCGCCGGACATTGTGCATCCGGATGTCGACGCAAACGTGGGCTCAGGCTACGGTCACGGCCAGTCCAGCTCGTCGCCGTGGACCAAGACCTCGTACAGCAGCAGCAGTTCCAGCGCGGCTGCGCCGCCGCCGACGACAACACTGAGCAACCAATCGTCCGAACCTGCTGCACCACAGTCGGCACCAGCAGCCGATGCAGCCGCAGCAGTGCCTATCCAGCCTGGTCACAACGAAGCTCTTGAAGGGAAGCGAGCTGGGGAAGATGTCTTTCGAGCTGTGTTTGGCGACAGCGACGACGATGACGATTAGGAGCTCGGCCAAAGTCATGTATATATTGGCTAAACCCGCCATTTGTAACATTCAAATAAACCAAACGATACCATGCCTGCTTTACCTGGCACACACCGCCGCTCGCATGAACAGATGCTTGTGGAGAGAGGAGATGTCTGCACAGTGATGAATTAAGCTGTTCTTTGCACCGCTCTGGTGCGGCCTCTGATTGGCCAGACGGCTACGAACGCCTGCCATGCGGGCGGCTAAAGGCTGATGCTGTCCCCATTTCTGCCCAGTGAATGGAACTACAAGGGACCGTTGTCAACAGATGGGCGCTTAAATTACAGCGTTCTGAGCAACAGGCCGCGTGCATGGGCCGTGAATGGTCGAGAGATCTGTGCTTTGTTGTCCGTCTTTCGGAAAGCTGAAATATGTTCGTTCAACTCGTAACAGTCCCCCATAGTCTCAACTTGTCTTGGGCGGTATACTGTTCGTGGACGTAGTAATCATAGCCGTGTCTCAGCGCCCAGCCCCAGCGCGTGTTGGCCCTGAGGTGTGCCCCTGTGCCCCATCACAGCGCGTGCTGGAGTGGGTCTCTGCGCATCTGGTTCAGGAAAGGGCGGCCCAGGGCCAGAGCCCAAGCCCCAGCCCGAGCGCAATCTCTCTGTATTTCCGCGTCTCTTGCATTTCCCATCGTTTCTTCACAGTCGAACCGTCTCACATCTCACCAGCACAACTCTGCAACATCCTTTCCAAACGCCGCCGGTTCTGCTTTTCTTCCGCGTTGTTCGCAACCCCTATTGTTATATCGTCGAATCTGTCTCCAACCGCCGCTGCCGCCTTCTTCACCAGATGACCGCCTAAATCGCCTCTTCGATCCTCCGCCTCGTCTCCCTCTCGCGTGGGATCCTCGACTTTGAGCCTGTCCTCTGTGCCTCCTCTTCTTCGCTTTCTCTCGTCTCCATACGGCGATCTCGCTCGTCACATCTCATCACTCGCTTGCTCGCTCGCCTAGCGAATCTCTCTCATTACACCATCGACCGCCTCGCTCTCTGCCGTCCAATCGCTCGTATTGTCGCCCCCTATTTTCCAGAGGTCCCGTCCAACTTTATCAACTTGTCAATTTAGCATTCCGCACTGCCAAGACGATATATAGCACCTGCAATCTGCGCCACTGCATATCGAAAGCACCAGCCAACAGGTCATCTATCCCCGCGTACGAACAGCAGGCCACTGCCTCAGCCAATCCATCACCGTGTCCGACTCTCAGAAGCCTCCCACAGCCACAACCGGGCCGCCGCCGTCCTCCGCCGTCAACGTGAGTCGCCGCGCACCGTCGACCACTGCCACCGGCGAGCCCGCAACCGATCGCGCAGCCACGGCCACGACGACCAACGCACGCGTCGAACCAGAGGAGTTGGTGGACGTCGACGCGGACATTGCGGCCGCAGCTACATTGCCTTTGCCGTTGCTTCCGCCTCGGTACCCGTCACCGCCCGTGGGTCACCTCGGCGCCGCACCGTCTTCGTCTTCTTCGTCGACCCAGCCGCCCTCGTTCAGCTCCCTCTACCCGCCGCTACCACCTGGCCTCGCCTTTCAGGAGGAAACCAAGCGTGTCCTCCCATCCGACCCGAAGCGGGAAGGTGAATCCTCGCGTGGCACCAGCAGCAGCAGCAACAACAACAGCAACAACAGCAACAACAACAAGAGCGCGGACTCTGAACCGCCGCCGGCCTACTCCGAAGAACCCATCCCCCTCCCCTACTTCACATATCTAATGGCGGCCGCCGGAGGTGCGTCGAGCATCATCACGCAGGTGCAGCAAGGCGGGCCACCCATCAACAACCTGAGCAGTAAGTGCCTGCCCTCGTTCAGCTCGAGAGATCGTCCAGACAACTAACACCATATCAGGCGATGTCGGCCTCGACGAGACGATTGCGATGGACCTGCGGGGCACGCGCTTCGTCCTGTCCAGGGACGAGCTGCTGACCCTGCCTGAGTTCGTCCTGCTGTCGCTGTTCCCCAACGGCCTGTTCCCCGAGGGCCACATGGGCGGTTTTAACGAAAATGACGCCATCCAGGTTGATGTACGTATGATGCTGGGCTTTCCCATATTCAAATGGGTTTGTTTTTCTCACCGCTAACCCCCACAGTATGACCCTGCATCGCTGCAATACATGCTCGACTTCTTCCGCGGCGTCGCCCAATCCATCCCGGCCGACGCATCGCCCAGTCCGGAGGGCGACGTCGGCGGCATCGACCCCATGGGCAACAGCAAGGACGACGCGTCCAAGCGCGCCGGTATCATCGTCTTGCGCGAGGACCTCGATTTTTACGCCATCCCGCCCCGTTCCGGCTTGCAGCAGGCCGAGATGATGGACGTCAAGCGCGCGGCCGCCCGCGCCCTGCTCGCGCAGAACGGCATCTTCTCTGGCCTCAAACGCAGCGACGAGCCGGGCACCACCGAAGCCCATCTGATCGAGATGCTGACGGCCGGCGGCTTCGACCACGACGACGCCTGGGGCCACCGGGCCGGCGAGCCCAACAAGGCCGTCATCTGCAGCCTGGCGCTGGCGCGGCTGCGGTCCGACATCCGCGGCAACGAAATGAGCAGCAACGCCGTCGGCATGGCCCAGAAGCTGCTGCTGTTCTGGCGCAAGCCGGCGCGGCGGTGCTGGTGGGAGGGCGTGCAGCTCGACAACGTCGAGGGCGTCGAGGGTCCGCTCAAGGTCTGGATCCGGCGGGTCTGGACCCTGGAGATGAGCGTCATCGGCCTTCGCTGATCGTTTCAATCTCGACGTTCAACGACAAAATAAGAAAGTAAAAAAAAAAAACCGAAGAACGAAGAACGACTCAACAGTATAAAAATATCCTCCTTGGGAATGGCACAGAGGAGGAGGGCCGACCATGGGCTTATTTGGTACCCATGTTGACATTTGTTATGGTTCTTCCATTTGCACTTTTCTCTGCTTTGTTTTTTATTTTCTATTGTTCATTTCGTAATACCCCCCACTTCACCCTTTCCTGTCCCTTGGAGGATCTTCTCGAGTCTCTTTCTTGTTCTTGTCTGCTCCGTCCGTTCGGATTGTCCAGACGACGAACATTTGCAAACCTGGGCGTCATACTAGTGCCAACCTAGGAGAAAAAGGCGAGGAAGATGTGCTTTTCTTTCATTATGGGCATCGAGCTATTCTCGGTGTACCTCGTTATCGATTACCTTCACTCTTCCCTTAACATTTCCTTTGTCATGACTCGTCTTTGCGATTCTTTTTTTGCAGTTTCTTTTCAGATTTGCTTTTACTTTCATCACCTTGTGCGCATTGTTTCTCTTGGCCTGTTGTTTATTTGATTTTGGAATATAGTATAACAGTGCGTTCGATACGGCAAGCATGATATTAAAATACAACTTGGATCAATTTTCTTCTTTTTTTTCATGTTCACGCTCGTGTTTGCACGATTCTTGAAATATGGCCTCAATTTTGGCTGCGTAGATATTTAAATATGAAAAATGTTAATATAAAATAGGTCTGTTTTTTCAAGATTTTTGTCATGGATTTGTTATTTTAATTTATTTAAAAAAAAAATGTTAATATATACGACATACAACAACGAATAGAATGGACACATTTTGCTATTTCTCGGCAAAATCAACCTACCTTATGCCGACGGTTTTGACGAGTTATACAAGTTTACATCACACAGGACAATAGTCGTGTTTCCAAGTCTCGCCGTTGTCTTCATTTATATTCATCAAATCCCAGTCAATAGAGCAAAAATACTCCGTACAGGCCATAAAATAATAGACGACCAGATAAAACAGGCTGACATTTCCTCTCCCTAGTGTAAAGACCTACGCGCCCATGGTTTTGACCGACTCCCACTCGCCCTTGAGGTTCTCTTTCCACATGGTAATCTTGTTATTGGCCGTGCTGACGGCCAGCACGTTCCCGCTCAAGCTCCAGTTGACGCGCCACACGGCCGAGTCAAACTCGAGCACCTTGCTCGACCAGCCGCCGCCGCCGCTGCTGCCGTTGGCGCCCGGCGCCTGTGCGTCGGCCGTCCAGATGCGCACGGTCTTGTCCTGGCTGGCGCTCGCAATGTAGCTCTTTTGCAGGACGGTGGGGCTCCAGGCGACGTCGCGCACCCAGTCCGTGTGGCCCGTGAGCGGCTCGCCCTCGGCGACGTAGGCGGCGGTGGCCGGGTCCCAGGCCCAGATGCGCAGGACGTTGTCGCTGCCGCCGGTGACGAAGCGGCGGTTGCCGGCGGCGCTGGGCGAGGGGTTGCTGGAAATGAGGCTGCCGGCGGAGGTGGCGGGGGCCCAGGAGACGCCGTTGACGCCGAGGCCGTGGGCGGGGAAGGTGGTGTGCTCGAAGCTGTTGTCCTTGAACTCGAGGACACTGACGGCGCCGTCGGACGAGGCGCAGGCCAGCAGGCAGCCGGCCTCGTGCGGTGACCAGGCGACGAGGTTGACGGAGGCCTTGTGGAGGGCAAAGTCAAAGAGGCGCTGCCAGGTGCCGGCCTGCTCGCGCCAGATAAAGACCTTGCCGTCGTAGCTGGCCGACGCCAGGATGCTGCCGTACTTGGGATGGGCCCAGGACACGGACCAGACGGCGGCCTCGTGGCCCTTGAGAGTCTCTACTAATCGCTGGGTCTCGCCCTCGATCTCAAAGATTTTGATTTTGCGGTCGGACGAGCAGGTGGCCATGCGCCGGCCGTAGTAGTCGAGGGCGACGTCGTGGATCATGCCATCGTGGTTGGCGTTGGAGGCGGCTCGTGTAGCCTGGCACACAGCAGGGGTTAGCAAAACGGGAGGCCCAAGGTTTGCATGAGCTCAAGTGTCTTGAGGCAGCGTGTGGCGGTCAGTGCCGGAGTCGTGGAGGAGCTCGAGGAGGGAACAGAGGTCCGTACCATTGTGTCTCCGATGTGCGTCTAGGAAAGGCAGGAGAAAGGAGAATGGGAAAATAGAACAAGAAAGAAAGAAACAAAAGAGGTTGTCCTCGAGATTCGTCTATTGTTGTGACCGAGCTGGTGTCGAGAACAGGGAGGTGGGGTGCAGAAGGTCGGCCACGGCAGACGGGAAGCTTGCTGCAAGGGTATCTAGCAGAGGCTGGACGCGGAAATAGAATCTGGAAAGCTGGAAAAGGTCGACGTGGAGCTCGTCGTGGTAGTCGTGATCGTTGTTCGCTTGCGCGTTTCGTTTTGCTCTCGTCTTCGCTGTCAGATAGGGTCGCCTTCGCTCCTGCCTTGTCATTGACGTTGAATGCTGCCCCTTCCGCCAATCTGTCCAATGGGCCGCCTCGCTCCCCTATTGGAAGGAGCGTCCAGGCACTGGGGGAAGGACAAATACTAATTCCGGGTCCGCCAAAAGGCAAGCTTTGGTCCCCACTTTTCCACCTCTAAATGGGAAGTAACAATGGTGAACAGAGTGCTCCACTATTTCGACAATGGTTGACAAAGTGCCTTGTTGTACAGTTCGTAGTAATTATGGGTGGCGGAGAGAATAGCGCCTTCGGGCCTCGCTGTCACAAGCTTGTGAATGCAGCGGAATGCGCTATTGAGGTGCAAGGTTGCGCCAAAGAGCCAATAGAAAAGGCCAGCCCCAGCTTTATAAGCCAAATGTTCCCCATGGAGGCGGTATTGAAGGCGTTGCCGGCGGCCCTTTCATTGCCTCGTCTTTTTCCCGAGGTGAGCCGCTTTCCAACAACACCTCAAACATTCAACGACGTTTTGCGTGGAAAAGAAAGACAACAAGAGCACGACAAACACCGAAAGAAGGCAAAGCGCGCCCTTGTTTAATTGACGACGCTCTTTCCTATTCAGAAGAGACAAACGGCCCGCGCCCCGCCCCCGCCGAGTGCTCCTTCCACGGCGTGCACGAGGCTGCGTCCTCTCTGTGCCTCCCTCCACGACATCGTTGCCCTCGGAGAATGGCCCTGGCTGCGTCGTTTGTGTTCCAGAATAGAGAGCCAAGCCTGTTATAGACTGTGGCATTCCGGACCTCTCGCACTATTATCATTGCTGGCCAGCATTTGCGAGCGTCAATAGCAAGCGGCCCTCGTCCTATATAGTCGAGCACTGCTTTCTCGATCGCCGTATTATTCCTCGACACGAGACTCCCAACGATACGAGCACAAGGAATTCCAGTCGCTTGGCTACCCCGCCGTTCTTCGTCTTCTCCACCTGTACAGCACCGTTCTTGAGTGTTGAGATTGCGTTCTCGAGACAAGTCACCAGCCTCAGCTCACTCACGGCCACACGCTGTTTATAGGGCGTCGTCGACTTTCACGGCAACTCATTTACCTCGTCATTCAAATACACGCTTGCTTCGTCATCTCATACCGGCAACAATGGCGGACAATCTCTGCGGCCCGTCGACGGCTCTCAAGAGCTTCAGCGAGCATGTCAACCGCGACCGCTCGGTGCATCAAGACCGCGCTGCGCCTGGCCGTGCTGGACCTTCGGTATGTTTTCCGTTTTTGTTTTCCGTTTTCGTTTTATGTTTTCCGTCTGCGTCTTGTGGTGTTGCCGCGTTTGCTTTGCCTATTTTGGTAGCCTGCTCACTGCCCCCCTCGTGACCACACAGCTAACGCACTGCGGCAGAACTTCCGCTCCGCCCCAAATGGCACGCACAGCAACGAGGCAGAGGCTCGGGCGTTTGCCGCTGGCGGTGCTGCCTTCCAGGCCGAGCCGATGATGGTGCCTGACATGAACGGCCATGTGCACCCAGCAGCGTTTCAGCAGATGGGCCAAATGGGACCGCACGCGCACCATCCACAAGCACGTTTTGCTGGCCCAGGCGGCGTGGCTCCCGGGCACGCCAACGGCGCTAGCAACTCGAACAACTGGGCCACCGAGTTTGCGTTGTCTGGCACGGCAACTCACGTTGCTGCTCCTGCTGGTCCTTCGCCCGCGGCAGCTGCTGCTGCTCGTGCGCCCTATGCTCCCCAGCAACCGCTGCAGGCCGTCAACCGTCTGCAGCACTTTTCTTCGGGCATGATGGCCCAGAGCCCCGCGTTTCTTTCTTCCATGAACCAACCTTCTTTTGCAGGCACCCAGCAATTCTCACAATTCAATTATTCTTCACCCTCTTCTTCGTACGCTCCTCAACCTGCTGCTCTCACCACCAGCACCAGCACCACCACCACCATGCCTCACATTGCCCCTCCTTCGCTGCTTGATAGCAACGCTCCCAGCGGCGTCGCTGGCCTCACCGAGGCCGAGCTTGAGGCCCGTTTTGCAGAGGCGGAGTCCAACTTCGACTTTCAGAACGAAATGGACGCGTGGATGCAACAGCATGGCCCCACGGCGGAAGAGCGCGGCGAGACGTCGGCGGCGCAGACGGAAGACGTCGACGCCATCCTCGAATCCCTCGCGGATGAGCTCGACGCCCAGCGCCTGGCCGAATCAACGGAGGCTGCTGCCGCTCTTGATGCAGCCACTGCGGATGCTGCTGCGGCGGACGAGACCGCCGCGGCGGAACAGGCCGAGCAGGACCTGGCGCGTGACCAGGACGACCTGGCCCGCACGGCAGGCCAGATTGTGCACACGCTGGACGCTCACCCCAGCACCAAGTTCCAAGAGTCGTCCTTTATGCGGCTCATGAAGCGGATTCAGACGCGCGAGGTCACCGTCCAGGGCGACAATCTGGTCGACGAGGCCACGGGCCAGCCCATCGAGCAGCCGGTCCGCACGGAGATGGCTCCCATGACCACGACCACGGCCACGACCACGACCACCGCGGCACAGGAGTCGGAGACGACCAACGGCGCCACGGCCTAGATGGCCCGCGCGCCCAAGACTGCTCTCCCACTCTCCGGCGCGACTGACGCGCGGGACACGCCTGAATCGGTTGACTCGCCCCATTCGCTGACTCTCACCGCCACTGCCGCCGCAGCTGCCTCTGCTGCCAGCCACATGGCCATTACCGATGCCTTGGTCCAGGCCTACTTGGCCATGGTGGTGAACGACGAGCGGACTGGCGGACGTTCTTGGCCTACACGGGCCATTCCGGCCCAGAGCCAGACCCAGGCTCATCACCAGCCGCAGCCGCAGCCGCAGGAACAACAGGAGTTGCAGCAGGTCAAGGAGGTCGCGGAGCCCGGTGTCGAAACATCGACTGCTGCCAGCACCAGCACCAGAACCAACACCAGAACCAGCGACCGCACTGGCTTCGTCAAGCGCAACGGCGCTGCCCGCAAATTTACCGCCAACCTCTGAGCTGGCCGTACCCGCCCTCTGTCCTCTCTTCCCCTTGAATCCCATTTTCTCTTGCTTGGGTGACCTGATTGCTTTGTCCCGTTGTCCTGCGTTTCTTCGTTGGCCGACATTGAAATGCTTTTTGATATCTTTGTTGAGCCAACGCTGCTAACGAGGAAAGAGGATGGTGTTTCTCTCCACCTTGTGTCGCAACGTTACGTTCTTTTTTTCCCCTTTCTTTTGTCTCCCTTGTCAACACTCGCCTTCGCTTCGGTCTTGACGCTCTTACCTCTTACTCCGTCAACAGCCGATGCACTTACCTGGTGCCATCTGAAGAGAGATGAGTGTCTTCGCCGGTGTGGAAAAGGCTTTTCCTGTTTAATTTATAGTTGCTCTTTCTGTTAGCCGCATAGTTGTTGCATAGTTCCACCGTTGCATAGTGCTGCATAGCTGGCTGCTGCGTCGCATCTTTTGCATTCTGCATACTGTTCTCGAGGCATCGTTTGTTGTCTGTTGTGTTTTTGCGTTGCATTGTCGCGCATGCTGTAAGGAAGATACCCAAGAGAAGAGGGAGAAGACAGGAGGAGACGGAAGTGAGGAAGACCGAGAGGTAAAAAGGGACAAGAGTATGGGTAAAGAAGTGGTCGAGGAGAGTCTTTTACATATTTGTTGCAACTTTCAATCCAAGGCTTATGCTTTCCATTCTACCTATGTTTGTCCACAACTCGTAATGTGTAGCTGGGATCCCATTCAAATGTCAATGTCCGAGGCCAAGATGGAGGTATCGAGAGTTTGATGTCTTTTGCTTTGGTTTCTTGGTAGCGAGACACGTCCATGCAGGTACCCGTTCCAAGTGTTGCCCATGTACTTGTTCGGTACGTACTGCATACTATTGACACGTCTCGTTACATCTATGATACATCTACTACGTCTAGAGGGAAGAAAGTGCAGCATTCAGAGTTTGGCCGGAGGGCTAGATCCCAATTACGCCTATTCACTACAATGGGCGGCGAGGAAGCCAAGGACGGAGTCAGATATAGGCCTTCAGCCAGAGGACAGCTGCTGCACCACCTGGCAGCCCGCTTGTAGCGTCTACCAGCGCTGTCAGTTTGCTATTTTCGCAGTCCACAGCGGGCTAAACACAGGGCAACGACGAGCGAGGGCTCCTAGAGGGGAAGAGAGGTGCTGTTGCTGGGCCACAGTGAAGGAAAGGTGGGGTGAATGATGAGGAGCAAATAAGACCTACCAGAACAACAATAGAAAAGCTGGTACATACCCTGTGGCCTATTACTTTCTTTGCCTTGGTCTATAGAGGCCATCATAGATGCTTGCCGGAGACGAGCGCCAGCTTTGCAACGTGGAATCTGGTGGCATATCGGTGAGCAACTACTGGCACACAAATTTAGCTACGACTAGACACGTCGGGAGGCCTGTGCTCTACATTTATGCGCGTCATAATGTTGATTTTGGAAAGAAAGTATACATGGTTGTCTGCAGAAAGTAAAACAGGGTCGACCCGAGACTCTGGTGAGCACACAAACGCCCGTCATGGCAGCGCTCGTACGTGTTCATTATTTTACAGGGGCCGAAACGAAGTCGCGTCCTCTACGGGAGACGCCAGATGTGAAAAGGAATGTGAAATGGAGCATAGGCGATGCCATGCTAAAGATCTCGGTTCACGACAAGGGAGACCAGTTAAGATCTCCGCTTGCGTACCGTCAAGTACTCGCCGGCGATACCGTTCAGTCGTCGTCGTCGTCGCCGAAACCGGGGAAGATGGGAGGTCCGACAGGTGTCGGGAACGGGTGCGGGGTGACCGTGCCCTTACCCTTGCCCTTGCTATCGATGGAGAAAATAGCATGTTAGAAAATATTCTCGGCCATGAAACTCAGCAAAATGGTCAAGGAAACAAAACAAAAAACAACATACCCCTCGCCCTCAGTGACGGTCACAGTCACAGTCGGCTCGGGAGGCGGCGGCGGCGTGGCCTTGGATGTGGTCGTGGGCTTCACCGTCACCGTCACAGTGTGGGTTGGCTTCTTGTGCGGAGCTGTGACGACCGGGGGAATCGGGTGCGTGGCGGTCTCGTGGGGTGGGCTCGTGGCTGTTATGTTAGCCCATTGCCGCTACCATTTTGTCTTATACGTTGCACAGTCCAATATCATATGGCGCAAGAACTTACAAGTGGGCGCCGGCTTGCCCTTGTCCTTTCCGGTGGGGGTAGGCTCTGGATTCACGGGAGCGGGCTCCGACTTGCTAGGAGCCGGAGCAGGCTGAGACTTGCTAGGAGCCGGAGCCGGCTCTGACTTGCTAGGGGCCGGAGCGGGTTGAGACTTGCTCGGAGCGGGAGCAGGCTGGGACTTGCTAGGGCCGGAGCAGGCTGGGACTTGCTAGGAGCCGGAGCGGGTTGAGACTTGCTCGGAGCAGGGGCCGGCTCAGACTTGCTCGGAGCGGGCGCTGGCTGAGACTTGCCAGGGGCCGGCGCAGGCTCCGACTTGCTCGGAGCGGGAGCAGGCTGAGACTTGGCTATAAAAATGCATTAGATGGAATAAAACCCACAGTCGTTTGTACGTCGATAAGCAACTTACGAGGAGCAGGAAGGGGAGTGGGAGTGTGGCCAACCGGCTTAGCGGTGGTCGTCTTGACGGGAGGGACGGCACCGGTGGGCGCGCCCTTACCCTTGCCCGAGCCCTTACCCTTGCCAGGCGTGGGGACCGGCGCAGGCTCATCACCATCGTCGTCGCCATCATCATCGTCACCCCAGCCTCCACCCCAGCCCCACTGGCGGCGGCGGGGGCGCTCATGGTGCTGCTTGTGGTGCTTCTTGCGGTGCTTCTCGATCTCGTCGTCGTTGCGGAGGGCCAGCTATGAGAGGCCAATTATTAGATTTCTGTCCTAGTTTCCAGGGCAGACTATGGACTCTTGGCTTCTATGACTTACAGGGGAAACGGGTGTACCAGCAACGGGGACGGCCAGAATGGCAATGGCACCCTGTCACAATCGGGTCAGTCTTGGAAGTGAACAATATGTTGACGACGGTACGGTATGCATACAGCAGCGCGTCTGGCAGCCTCACCGGGCATCTGGAGACCAGACACCGTCGAGGTGGCCAGCAAGCCAGTGATGGCCAACTGTGCGAACGAAGGAAGCTGCATATTTGCAAACTTTGGCTATATGTCGATTCGTCTGGCAAGATGGTCGTACGTAGATGCCGTAAAGACGCCGCTTGTTCGAGAAAAGCTGAAAGTCAGAGATAAAGTAATGACAAGGAGGCGGCTGATGATTGTTTTATATACCCCGTAAAGCGCAGTCACAACACGCCTGGGTCAGGTCCGGCACGGTTTATTCTGTGTTTGTATCTCCTGTGGTTATTCCGTCAAAAGAGACTCTCTTGGCATGGAGGAGAGAGGAGAGGGACGGGTGACGTGCCATATACGGGCCGTTCTAAAATTCAAAGAAAGTTGTAAATACCCATCTCGGTACCTACCTGGAAAAAACGTGGAATATCGCCGTATCCCCGGCTGCTCTCGCTATATGTCGCTCGGCATGGCAAATATTTCTTCCTAGAGGATAATGTAGTCGAAAGTCTAAATCGGCACAATATGGATAAACTCGAAGTTTACATCGTCGAAAGGCAATCACGCCTTCAGGTTTGGTTGCTTGCAAAGTGTGGGATAGGAAGGTCAAGGCGTAGAAAGTTATGGCGAGGTATATTGCGATCAGGATATGTAGTGAACCTGTCAGGATGAAGTTAGTAGTAAAGTGAAGTGTGATACCAGAAGGTAATGCCCAGCGTACTGCAAAACAACATTGGTATACACATATATGATAAATTGCCACAGTTCTTGAACTATGAGGGCCGTGCTTCCATATCTACACCGTCTTGGCAAGATCAGGACGACGAATGTCGACATTGTCGGAACCGAGAGGTGACATTCACAACGGCAAACTCGTCACCTTTGAACAACCAGAAGTAGTATGCAGTCGGAAGAGAAGCGACGTGTTCCCCTCATTTTCTTACACAGTTGACTCAAAACTTCTCCCCTTGAGCCCTCCACATGAAAGCATAAGACGTGTGCTGCTGGACGACGGACGTGTTTTTGGCTGAGCGTTGAGAGACGATTGTTTCTCATAGAAACCGAAGTCGAAACGGCGGCATCAGGTGTATTGGACTGGCGTGTACTGGCATTATCAACACTCCGTCTTGGTTGGGCCGAAGTCGATGAGCCACGTGAATACGAAGCATCCTCGTCGTCCATAGATTTTGGTCTCGCCGGATAAGTGCGGAGAGAGCAAAACCTTCTTTTCAAATGGCGGGAAGGTCAATTTTGCCGAGAGCTGGCTCTCTGCAGACGAACAAATTAGAAACTGCAAGAGCTGAGGTCGCAAGGGAAAATGTCTGCGAAGGCAGAGTAGCAGCATATCAGGTGATAATGGCATGGGAGGGCAAAAGCAAAGACGCAGAGGCTGACCTGAAGCTGGGATCGGGGGACAAAAGCAAGCTGTTCGCCCGTCCCGCAACATCCTCGGATATTGACGCGGCAATTCCAGGGGCACTATGGGCGCTCGAGGTGTCTGCCATTACCGGGTCTTGGCAGATCTAAATAGCCATATGGGTGTAAAGTGTGTGCAAAAAGGCGAAGAATGGCGAAAGATGGCGAGAAGGTATTGCACAGTCACGATACGTTGTTCGAATTGATGATTGGAGGTGTTGTCATTTTCGGTAGTAAAGAGAAGGCCGAGACGACAAAAAGAAGAATGAAGACGCGAAGTAGACACGACGATAGGTCGGATACAGTAGGAAAGCACGAAGGGCTGTTTACACTGTCGTGCTACTTCGCTACTTCCCAAAGTGGATTCTACACTGAAAGTCGCTCCTGCCCTATGTTTTTTTTTTTTGAAACAGCTTGCATCGCGCCTTCCCTTTGAGAAAGCACCGACCAGGGCCCTGAGAGACGAAAAAAGCAGAGTTATCTCGAACCTCCTTTTCTCGAGCCATAACATTGAGCAGATATGCAGGTCTCCTTGCACATATATTGCACTGTTGTTGCATTTTACCGGACGAACGCAAGGCGACAACAAGCTTTTCCCTGAGCGAAATCCCCGACCGGGATTCAGGTACAGGGTTTGGCTACGTGCAATATTTATTGACCTCATCCAGGTCCCACAGGCACCATGACTTTAAAAAGCTCTTAGCAGCAACAAGCCGCTCGCGAGTGCTGTACAATGGCCTCTCTCTTCGATCCGTGCTGCAAACGTCTCATGATTTGATTTCGTCTACAGCCCCCATTCCTACCTGAAAGTGCCAAAATAGACCTTACGGTCTTCAATCGACTTCCTCGCTCTCTGTTCACTGGTCACACAAATTCCTTAGATATGATGTGTGCGAAGCTTGTAAGCACACCTTATCGATGGTTTGCCGTGAATAATGGTTTGCCGTGAATAATGGTTTGCCGTCACTGCCCACGTACGCGAAGTGAACACGACTAGGGAAATTTACCATCGACATGAATTTAAACAAATTTCTCGAATACTACCTCTTTCCGTCATCATATGTACATATATTGTTGCCTCATTTTGGCAGTTGAGGGGTTCGCACATCATTGCTGCTGATTGTTTACTTTTAGTGGGCATGTTCAGGGGGAGGTGCATGGATGCAGGCAGACACGCAAACTACTAACATTTAATAATGAACAAAGCAAAAAAAACAGATTCACCCATATATCCAAATGTATGTCCGCACTAATACGGTTAACCAGACATGCATGTTATAGAGGGCCTATTTTTGGTGCCCGGCTGCGGTTGAACTCGATCGAATCTAGAGGATATACTCTACTTGGCCCTCGACCCTGATATACATAGAAAAGAACCACATGGAAACCGAACGATCTGCCTCGCCAGTACTTTCCCCTCTCGATATTGACGTCTTGATGCCACTCGCATCCAAGGATTAAATTGAAGAATGTCCCCTGCCCCAAACAAGACACTCTCGGGAATAGGGAAAGGGGAATTAAGGAAAATAGGAAGAATGGTGTTTTTGACTTTTAAAAGTATTTTCCTTGCTTTCTCTTTCCCATTTTCCCGGAATCGCACTGGACGCTTGACACAGGGCATGGCATTGTCAGTTACAAAGTGTAGCCACCCAAAAACGTTTCTTTTCACGTTTCCGGTGTGGTGCTATCTATAGCCGTAGAACCAAGACTCTTTCACTTTCTTGTTCCTGAGACTTGCGTTTTTGTCAGCCAACAGCATTTTGGCAACGAGTAAAGTACAGAGTACGACGAACAGACAAAGTAATGCAGATGTGCGAACTTTTTGTTACCTGCAACACGTCTGAGCTTTGAGTGCCTGAAAGTTCTCACGACGTTAACTAAAAGTGTTGCATGTCCTCGGAGTAGAGCACACGGCGGAAGGACGCCAGGTATACGAAAGAGTAGTAAGTCAACGGAAAGCATAGATTTAGTTTGCATGTAACAATGCTTATGAACAATTTTCTTTCAGGTAGAAATCAATGCTGTAAGAATGTATTTTCCGTTTCGTGTAGCTCCTTTATCCCACGTGTGCTTCATAATAATACAAAAGAAATAATAAAAGAAGACAAAGACTTAGTATGACCCTGTTTACCAAAGTAATCAAAGATATAGTATAAAAACGCCATGCTGAATGATGTTAAAAGATCAGAAACAGATGGTGACAGGTGACTATATGACATATGAAAGACGCAAAATGCCGCAAGAAGAACAAAGAAAATCGGACAAATGAAAATAGGACAGTGCAGCCTGCACGACGAGAGGTGAGATGGTGATACAAGGTGGTTTGGTGGTTTCTTTGGCGATAGTTGGTTTGTGGAGCTAGGGATGGTTGGGAGGGTATCTGCCAAGCAACACTGGTCTTGGCTGGCCTCGATTTTTGTTTTTATTAGTAAACGACGGCGCCAAGCTCGGAGAGACAGCAGGCAATCGTTTCCACTCGGAAATCCACCATGAATAGAAAACAAGTTAATGGGCGACGCCGTTCGCGCTACCGCCATTGCCGAGGCGTTTGAACCAATTGCCCAGGCGCTTCCAGCGCGCACCGCCGCTATTGCTGCTCTTTTCCATGACAGAGTCGGGTCGATGATGCCAGGCCATGCCGTTGGGGTTGTGGCGATGGATGTCAATCGGTGCTGCGCTCAGGTCAACAGGACCGTGGTGCTGCATCATCGCCAGGTGGTCAGGGTGGGCCGCATCGGTAAAATCGTCCGGCATAGCATGGGCCAAAGGATTCGTGGCATAGTAGGCAGAGACAGACCGGCCGCCGCGAGGCAAAGACTGTGTTGCCAACAAGGCCTGGGTCTGCTGCAGATCGGGCGATGTGAACGACGAGACTGGCGCAGCAGCTATGGACGATGTTGCCGTGGTCGTCCTCGACGAGGTGTTAGGCTGCTGTGAGTTCTGCTGGTGGTGGTACAGAGACGATGGCACGGGGGAGATTTCCTCGAGCATGACCTCGGGTGTAGCAGGTGCTTCGGACGGCGAGGGGGACGACTGGAACTTGGAAGACACCTTGGACGAGAACTCGCCGCTCAGTCGCGAGAAAGCGCGGCTCCGACGGCGCGGGGCAATAAGAGCAGCCGGCGGCCGTTCCGAGTCGCTTGTGTCGGACAGTTGCATCTGTTTTCGGCGTTGGATGTAGGCAGCGCCCGTGCTGGATGCCTTCCGTGGAAAGATGGGCGTGCGCCCGGGTGCCTTGGGCGATATGGACGGTGATACATCGCGCTCGGGGATGTCGATGGAGGGAAGTGTGGCCGATCGTGTCTTGTAGCGTGCAGACAAGCGGCGACCGCGCTTGAAGGTGTCGTCGCTGGCGTTGGTAGCATCGCCGGCCGATGGTTCAGGCACAAAACGGACACTGCCAGTAGCACTCTTGATGCCCGAGGCATTGCCAGTCCCGGGGAAAGGGCAGTGTCCCCCTACAGTCTGGCCCCAACCGCACTGGAGAGCCACCCAGACTGCGCTGATCGAAATAAAGTTCTTCAGGGCGGCATCGACGGGAAGCGTGGTCCGTGCTTTGGCATTGGAGAGCATGGATGGAGCAATAGATGGCTGGCCGGCATCTTCGTCGTGCGAGAGCTCTTCGTCGTTGCTGTTGTCAGCGTCGTGGGAGGCCGGAGACGGCGTCCAGGCACGCGAGGGCGGGTATCTGCTGGCCGATGGCGAGACCGTGGTGTAGGTATCGAGAATCTCAAGGGTCGTCCGCGTCAGGGTGCCCAGGATGGGGTGCCGTCTCGACTGCGGGTCGATAATACTGAACGTGAACTTGCAGTCATGTTCGGCAGTAGCTGCATGGTCGTCGGCCCCGGTTGTGGTGCATTTTGCGTCAACTGCTGGTGGCGGCTTGGACATGACACGGCTCACCCAGCGGGCGGTGGTTGTGTTGCCGTGTTCGTCTACGCGGACAAAGTCAAAAGAGCCGGTAGGTAGCGCCTTTGTCGTCCAGACAGAGCCGTCTTCGAGTGCAATCTCGGACTGGTCGCCGCGGCGCAAGGGACTCAGCACAGCAAGTAAAGCTCTGTGCTCGAAGCTGTCGTTCTCGTCGTCGCTCTCAGAACCGAGCAAACGGGAGTCGTAGTCTTCGCTCTGGACGAGGATGGTGTCGTGCAGGCCCAGCTCGCCGTTGATACCAAAAAGGCGTGGGAACCGTTTGGAGAACCGGGGTGCGGCAACGTTGCCAGCAAGTAGCGAAGACGGGTAGACGTCGATCACGGGCCGTGGCCGGCGGTCGGCCGAGAGCTGCTGCATTTGCATGAGCAGCGTCGGGCGGAGCCGCTTGAGAAGGTGCTTCTTTGTGCTCAGTTTTGGTGCTGGATGGGCGAGCAGGAACGTTGTACTCTTGCGGGGCGTTCGTCGGCGGCGGCTGGGCTTGGAGGACGCGGCGGAGCTGGGCGCCGGGTCGCTGGCATAGCTTGCCTCCGAGGCCGAGAACGAGGCCTCATCTTCGCTCATAGGTTCCGGCGCCTTGGGCAGGCGGGCCCGGGGCCGGGATTGTGTCGGTAATCTCGGAGTGTTTGTGGAAAGCGAGCGGGTGATGGGACCGGTTTCTACGACTGGAGGGTCGTGGAACCGGACGACGGGCTCGGGTGGGAGCAACCGGTCACTCGTGAGAAGGCCTTCAGAGACGTGCCGTAGGTGCGGCTTGGGACGGAGCGGTCGAGCCGGGCGAATGCCATCCGAGTAGGTGCTGGAGCGAACAATGGATGGCGGCGATGAGTTGGCGGACGCGTTGAGACTGGGAATGGCCGTTGCAGAAGACGAAGTGACGGAAGCATGGGAGACGGCAGAGGCAGAGGTGGAGGCAGAGGAAGAAAGTGCAGAGGGTGTGGATGCAGACGACGATGCGGAGTTGGGAGAGGTAAAGGCAGACCGTAGCAGGCGATTCCGTCTCGGATCCGGCAAGAGTTGTTGATTTAGTGGCCGGTTTGTTCTATTCGAGTACTCATGGCCATGAAGGCTGGCGCCCGAATGGAGGAACATGACGACTTATAATGAGAGACATGCAAGGCGATCGGAAAGACCGACCGGCCCTGGTGGTTGGGGAAACAAAATAAAATAAAAATAAAATATAAAATATAAAAGAACAAGTGAGAAGAAACCAAAATGATGGAAAGAAACGGAACGAAGGTGTGTCGAGAAAACGATCGGTTTAGGATGGCGGTGGTTGTAGTAACGAGGTGGGACGGGGCTAGGGTGCCATATGACGAGGCAAGTGGAGTGCACCAAGAAGAACCCACCCCAGAAGGCCAGGTTCGAAGAAAGGGCTGAAAAGCTCTGCGGTAGAGACCCTAGAGCCCAGGCACAGATTCAGTCCGCCGGCGGAGCTTGTCGGATTTCGCGCCGGGGTGATAGAGGTTTCGTGTCGTGCGTCTGTGGACCAGGGTCCAGGAGGTTGGCAGTGAAAAGAGGAAACGGGGAGCACAGAGCGTGAGATAGACGTCCGTGATAAAGAGAATGAGATGCTCGAGCAGGGAGCGAGAAACTGAAGGGAGCAGAGCCGGGATCGTAAACTCGAAAACGCAGCAAGCAGAAAGGAAACAAAAAGTAGCGAACAGAGAACGGAATGAATACAGAACACGATGATAAAGGATTCGCACAAACGACGAGAGAGAGTGCAGACAAAGTGGGCAACAACTCTGTCAGACGAGAGCTGACCAGCATCGACAAGCGTCAATGTCTGTCTCTGATCAGACGCGTAGAGAAATTAGGACTGGCTCAAACCCGCTGTTTTCTCACTGGTAACTGCTGGCGGCTTGTGGGCTGGAATGACGCCTGGGCTGGCGTTGTGATGGTGTGGAGCAAGGGGGCCTTTGAGTAGCAGTGAGGACACGAATAAAAGAATAGGGGTCGCGGCGGCTTGGCTTCCCACTCAAGACTATCGAGAGTGAATATCAAGAGACAATGCAAAGATGGAACGTGTTTCTTGTCGATCTTGCGGCAGCAGCAGCAAAACGAACAAATAAGTGCCGCGAAACGAGAAACGAGGACGACAAAGACAACGGAGGAAACAAGAACACGAGTAAAAGCGAGGGGCGGATCGAAATATCGCCCAAAGTCGTTGGCAGAAGTCAGCAGCGTGGGAGAATAGAGAAAGGGGGAGAAGAGAGGTGAGGCGGCAAGCCAGGAGAAATGTAAAGGTAAGCACAGGTACTTCGTAGGAAGGCGGCTCTCATAAGGTCGATGCAGGTTGGCCGGCAAGGCAGGAGCAGGGGTGCAAAAGGGGGGGCGTGAAGAAAGACGGGAAAAGAGTGACCCAAGGCGAGCTAAAAAGAGCAGGAGACCCAAGGCGCCAGGTAGGCGACTGCCAAGACCCGAAGCTTACAGCCCAAAGGCGGGACGGACAGACTGTTAAAGGCAAGAGGTGGAGTGAGAGGCGAGTGTCGTACTGGGAAGGAACGGTGAGCGGGATACTCGGAAGTTTTACGCTCCGCCAGGCAAGGCCATTTGCCAATGCGCAGATTAGATCTCACGGCAGCATTTCACGAAAATTGGCCCCATAAGACAGGCAGAGATCAGAGTAAAACATGTACGCTGACGCTTTGCATCATGGGGTTGACGGGAACACACGAATGTGGGAACATTTTCCGCGCTCTATTCCTGTTTCCTCTCTTCGTGCGTCTGCTCGCCGCCTCTTTTTCGCAATACATCCACAGGCAACTTCAAGACGTTAAAAAGAAATAAATTACACAAAAGACACAAAAGACACAACTGTCCTGCAAGAATGCGGAGGACAGGGTCCGCGCGTTAGTGAGCTTATGGGCTGCATGTTAGCCCGCCCGTTTAGTACTCGATAGTGAGCTGAGCAATGCTTCGTATGAGCGGCGTTGCTGAGGGTGGTGCAGGTCAGCTTGATGACTGGTTTGGGCAATTTAGATTACCATGTAAGGGAAAGGTCGTCCAACATGGGCGGTCTGAGAAGGTGGCTTATTTGGAACCTGGCAAGTGGTGGAACGACGCAAGGACGGCGATGATGCTCGTTGGGGAGGAGCATCTGACTTCAAGAAAAGAACAGCTCACAAAACGTCAACCGCATGACACAAGGACACAGTACCACCAAGAAGTACTCGACCCTGGCCCTTTTCGTGTTTTCATCGTTCTCACCTGCTGAGCCACTTACACGCGAGAGCTTCCTTTGTCCTTCGAGTTCCGCCGCCACGGCGAGAGGCTAGGTCGAGGGAGACAAACGAAACAGGGACCGAGTCAAATTGCCAGGTCCTCTTTGTCGAGCGTCGCCTGACAGCCTAAAAGCGCCCTCAAAAACGCCCTGAGAGCGCCCTGGGCAGCGAGCGACCCGAGTGTGAGGTAAGATGCAATACAGCGGCCTACATGCCGCCTGTGAACAAAGTATCTTTGCTATCAAAGCGTTATGCTAATAGCGGAGACTTTTACTGTATGCCACGAGAAAGAAAACGCCAACACGAGGCCAATGATTGGGACGACCGGACGCCACAAAAACGGGGCAACTTTCCAGCGATCTGACATAATAAGAGCCGACGGAGTGGTGTGTCTATGCGGCTCCTTGAAGGCATGACTGACGCTGTTTGTCCCGCCGAAACATCGGACGCGTTAGTCAGACTTCACTGTGTTGTAGTTACTGTAATACTTCGTTCGCTGCTCTGCCTTGTAACATATCGAGAGGAAATAGTGCAAATATTCTGTACGGCGTCCGGATGTCTCTTACATTGACAGTTCGCCTGTCAGTTTCTCCACTTGGTGCACATGTTGGGCGGAGCTGGTCTTGGCCTTTGATAGCATGCCGTGTAACTGCAAAACAGGGTTGTGAGGTAACTTTCGATCTCGACCGTCGAACAAAACTCGAAACATGCCCCGCCGATAAAATAAATGCATTGTATAACCTTAGCAAGTACCGCTGTCTTCTTCCCACGGGTTCGGTGTGTTGTGCCGCCGAATCCGTCTCCAGAAAAGCTCGGGCGGCCGCCTCCAAACCCAGCGAGCACCCTTGTTGCGTCCCGTCGTTTCCCACAACGGCCGCCGGAGAAGCGGTGCCCCGGAAGCGATGCCGTAAGGTTGGGATCTGGCGGGCTTTTGCGGCCCGACTCTACTGGTACTTCCACGCAGACCAGTCCAGGTCGATCGTACCGTCCAGTTGCAGGTGTTTGTCGCCCCACGCCTCTGACCTGTCGCAGTTGTCTACGCAGTCCACAAAGTCGACCATATTTTTACGTCCAGCTTTTCAAGGATAGGATGGGAGAGGTCACATGATGTGGCTTGCAAGACCTCCAGCTTTTCTTGGAGAGCATGAGCTGCAGACGGGAACAAGTTATTAATCATCTACAACGGATATAGACAGTGCCGAGAAGACGGTACAGTGGATTTGGTTTCGGCAGGTCACAGCAGGTCGCAGCAAGGTGTAGGACATCGATATTGAATTACATTTGCTCTGGCAGATGTCAGTTCAGATGAATACTCCGTACATCCGTTCAAGCTTGCTCGCCGTGAGATGAGACTCGGCCAACGTTACTTGCCTGCGGGCTTATAGGTTGCAGCTACCAGGCAAAGTCTAACCAACAGCCAGGCCCGCATACAGTGGTCAAATATGTCGACGTATCGTTTTGGATTCGACAATGTCAAAGAGAATTTAGGCGATCAGGAGGCCAAGAGCACTGGCCACATTGGCCACACCGGCAACATCGGCCGGTGCAGCCACATCTGGGCCAGGAAAGCTTGCCCAGGTACTCCGTATGTGATGGTTCGCTGTCTCCAAGTAAACGCAAAATGGAAAGTCTGTTGAATCAGCAATGTTCCACGCGCCCCGTCCCAAACCTGTCCTAACCCACCGCACCGGAACCCGCGGAGTGACCAAATGACAGGCGGTGGACTCGATTTGGTTTTGCTGCTGTTGTCCCATCTGGTTTTGCTAGCCATATTTTGTCCCTTCTGTTCCTTTGACCCTGTTCTTCGTCTCAGCGGTGCGATTTCTTGGCTTCTCTTTCCCGCATTGGCGAATCGTGAAACCCTTTTTGTCATCCGCCTTCCACTACGATGAACGGATAGCAAAATTAACTTTTTTTGCGTAAAATTAATGGGCCTGGATCCCCACATAGTCCCAATGACGGTTGCACAAACGATCGAAAAGAAACGGCTCACCGGCAACACAATACGATATACGGCGAACAACCTCGCCACACGCTTCGCACCGGTCGTACTTTGAAGTGTGCATGTGCATGAAGCATTGGTTAGCGCGTGCATCCGGCACCCATCTGGCGCTTTGGTGTGGCACTTTACATTCGCTGAAGAGGCACATTGAAGACGACGCTTTGAGACTTCGGACAGGGAGCAGATAAGAGCCTGAGGGTGAATTTCTCGCCTGGGCAGATCCAAAGCAACAGAAACACCGTAAATGGGTCTCGTGATCGTCCCATGCAATGGCTTGGAAATCGCAACCCGGCCGCGCCTTCCGTTTCTCTTTCGTTGATAAGCACAGGGAAGGCGCGGAGGATATATTGCGAGCGAGCCGGAATGATCGAGGAAAGACGTAGTCTAACAAACAACTAAGTAGGCAGTCGCGACAGAAATCACTGCTCTGGCCATAGCTGGAACAATAAAAAAACATAAAAAAAAGCGAAATTGTATCCCGTGGACCACCCCCACGAGACATAGCATAGTCCCCAATAACAAAGCGAGAACATATGCCTCCTCCAACAACCCTCGCGCTCAAACGTCAGTCCCGCCCGCCGGCTGTTCGGGCGTTTCGTACATTTTTCAACAGTGGGATCCGCAGGGGCGCCACAGGGGGGCTCCCCCTGGCCAAAAAAAAGCGTACTCACAAAGCTTTTTAGTGGGACTTCTTACACTGTCAAGAGTGTTACAGTGAGGATTTCTTGCTGTATTAGAGTGCCAAAACGATTTGTGAGTGCGCTTTATTTTGGCCAGGGGGAGGGGGGGTCACATGCCTCGGTGCCCGCTAGTCCCCGAAGCCCGACGGCGGCGGTCGATTACTGTGCACATCCAAGCGTTAGGCGGTAAAAATGCACCTTATGGAGCCTAGCAGCAGGTGGGTCTCTCCTGTGCGGTCTCAGTAGGTCCTGTCCCACGCTGATTAGTCGTGCAGAAAGCGCGACAAAACAACGACTGACCAACGCAGACGTTCCACGTTCCAGAACAGAGCCAGACTCATCGTCTGCCATTGCTTTGTGGGACTAAGACAGGGCAGGCAAAACAATCGAGTACGAATTACGACAAACCACACGACAAACTACGGGGCCGCCACCATTGTTGCCGAGGCGCGCCACTCGCGCGTTCACACATCAAACCGCTCTTTGTCTTCCACGCGAAGCTAAGCTCGACGCGGAGAGTTCCGCATCCTCGGCCGACCACGGAACCCCCCAGCTCGACGCACAAGCTTGACAAAGCCGTGCTGAGATGCTGCAGAATTGTCCAAGTACCTGGTGATCCCCATCGACATTCCAGGACAGACAGGACCAGATGACCACACAGAGTGGTGCCGCTGGCACGGCGCCCAAAGCGGCCGCCCTGCTCAACCACACGCAGCACCCCTACTGGTCGCTGGCCGTGGTGTTTGGCGCCTGGAAGGCGTGTCTGCTGGCCATTGCTGTCCTTGCCGCGTCGGCTGGGCCGGCCTACGACACATCGGGCGACCTGCTCCAAGTCATCGCCAGCAGCAACGGCACGACGCCGTACGCCTCTTCAACAGGCGGGTATGCCATCCCGTCCGGCGGCATCGTGTCCCGGCTGACCAGCTGGGACGCCATCTACTACGTCGAGGCGGCGCGTCGCGGGCACGTGTACGAGCAGGAGTGGGCGTTTGGCGCCGGCCTGCCCCTGGTCGTGTCCTGTGTCCGGGATGCCCTTGCCCGTGTCGGCGTGGATGCAACTGTGGCCGTCGTCGCCGTCGCGTACGTGCACATCGCCCACCTGCTCGCCGTGTTCGCCCTGTACCGTCTCGGCTGCCAGCTCTGGGAGGGCGCCGCCGGCCGCACCACGGCCTTTGTCGCCGCGTGTCTGCACGTGCTGTCGCCGGCGGGCCTGTTTCTGTCGGCGCCCTATGCCGAGAGCAGCTGTGCCCTGTTCTCGTTTGTCGGGTATGCGGCCTTTGCTGCAGGCCGCACGCAGGGCCTGTCCGTGAAGGGCGATGCCCTGCGTCTGCTGGCCGGCGCGGCCTTTGGCGTGGCCACGCTGTTCCGCAGCAACGGCCTGCTCAACGGAGTCGTGTTTGCCTACGAGGCCGTGCACGGCGCCATCACGTTCCTGCAGCAGCCCAGCCCACGGCTTCTCCGCCGGCTCGTGAGCATTGGTCTGGGCGGCCTGGCCGTGGCGGCAGGGTCGGTCGTGCCGCAGGCCGTGGCCTATTTCGAGTTCTGCATCGAGCCGTCGGGCGTGCCGGGCGAAGACCGCCGGCCATGGTGTGTACAGCGTCTGCCCAGCATCTACAACTTTGTGCAGGACCACTACTGGTAGGAAGCCCTCATGTGTGTTTCCAATTTCGTGTCTTGAAGCTGCTACTGACTCCCACCACCGTCAGGGGCTCTGGTCGGCTGTTCAACTACTGGACACTGTCAAACCTGCCGCTGTTCTTGCTCGCAACGCCGATGCTATTGATCATGACACGCTCGGGTCTTGATCTGTGGCAGGCCGCGAGCAAAACGAAGAACGACGCCAACAAGAAGCAGGAGCACGAAGGCACACTCGCCCCTCGTATTGCCCCGCTCCTCCAGTCCATGGCCGCATCCCAGCTGCTGCTTGCATTCATGGCGTTTACCAGCTACCACGTCCAGATCGTGTCGCGGCTGTCGACGGCGTACCCGGTGTGGTATTGGTGGCTGGCGCAGGGCCTCAGTGGCGGTCCGCGGTCCAGGCTGGCCGGCAGACTTGTCGTTTTCATCGTCATGTATGCATCGATACAGGGCATGTTGTTTGCGTCGTTCCTGCCGCCAGCATAGAGGCGGACAGAGGACACAGGCACTGTCTGGCAGCATGGTGATAGAAAGGCGAATGGAATAAAATCGACGCAAAAGAGACGTCTGGCCAGCAACTGTACACTGTATAGACAGTAGAAAACATACTGCAGTATAACGAAATGATACTGGTCACCATCGTTGTCTAGAGTAGCCTGATGTGCTTATTGTTTGACCTTGGTCTCAGCTTCTTCTACAGTTCCTCTCAGACGCGACTCGAGTTTGGACTCAGATTGCATTCTACGCAACGAGCAAACTCGCCAAACGCAAGCGCAGAGTGGGGCACGATGTGGCCGCTGCCCTTGACAGTAGTGCATTCGCTGTTATTGTTGTTTTGGATGCAGCCGTGTCGATTGCCCAGAAAGGAAAGCACGACCATGCAACAAGACGTCGTCCTCTCCCCCTTCCATTTTAAGAAGAAAGCTGCTTGTCCCCGGCCTGGACTAACGGGCACCGTGTCCTCTCTCCTCCCCCCCTCTTTTTCTGTCTTTCTTCCCCTTCCTCTCTCTCTTCCTCTTCTTTTTCTCTCCTTCTCCAGACCATCTTCGGGCCACTACACCGTATCGGATTCCCCCCACAGAGCCCCCGCCCCCCATCTCTCTTGCTTCCTTCTTTCCACATTGGTTTCATCACCCATTATGAACTAAAATGATTTTCGATGTCAGTCGACTCGTCGGGACGTTGCTCGTTTTTGCGCTGTGCTAAGATCCTAGAGAGTCGAGTTCTGGTGATGTGCAAAGCTCCTGGAGCAGGGATGGGTCGCATGAATTACAACTTCGATAACATGCTGCTTGTCGGATCTAGTCATTCCGTTTCTCTACGGGAAGAAATGGCAGAGCATGTTTCCAGCTGTGCGGCGTTCTGTGCTTCTTTCCTTCGGGACCTTTCTTAGCGGTGGGTTGACCTCCTTTGTCGATGAGAAGCGGTTGAAAGGTCGAGTCGAACGATCAAATACCACAGCGTCGATGATCTAACAAGGAACAGCACAAGAACTCTTTCTTCCTCGAGAATCACCAAAGGTTGTCTGAGGGGCCCAGGGCAAACGCATAACTCAAGAACGAGGCGTCGGTGGACGTGCCGGCGCCTCGCAGTATCCCTTCCTGAGATAAGTCGACACCCTTATGTGGTGTGTCACCCGACCAGGTTCCATCGAAGTGGGTGGGCTGCCTTGTCCCGCAGGCATTTATTGTGTGAGTATCACGAAGGATGAGCTAGAGCGTTTTCTCATATACAACAAAGTAAAGAAGTCCAGAACAGCCCGGCTAACCACTACCTGTAATGCCCGACAGATATATTTTATATCCACACCGCAATGAACCGTTACCGACTTGACATGGCTTCCGGAAGCCTTGACAGCTTCTGCATCGAGCGTAAAGGGGAAAGGGTCAGGCGGTTCCGGGGATGGGCCGGGGGGCAGAAGCAGCGCAGCCACTGTATTTCCGGTGCGGTGGCGGGCAAATTCAACAACCACTGCTACTGCCCCCGCGGCTCCAGCCAACTGCCCTGCCCCTCCTCTCACGGACTCTGGATTCGCGTATCCGCTTGGATCTGGTGCCTCTGTTGGGAGACTGACTCTAGACGTGGAACCACCTCCTCGTGGGCTCGTATCCCGCATTGAACAAGTATCTCCATCACGTGGGATAAGAAATCTGTTGAGCCAGCCAGGACATTACTCTCGTCGGTCATGGTGACTGTGACTGAGGTCCAGTCCATGGTCCTCGGTGCGGATTGCCACTTGAGGTCTCGACGGTGCCTGGCGAGAGGTATCAATTTACCCGGGGCTAGGCATCTCAACGAAACCAGGGAGATCTTACGATATGCACTGGTTTGCTTGCCATCCCCCAAACGGCAGTAAAACAATCGTCTGGAAAACGGCATATGAACTCGGGGATTGGGTGTCCTTGCAAGAAGGTCGATGATGCTTTGGATAGGATGAAGGTAGTGCTGTTACCAATTTTATTGGGCATAGGTGGATATGAGGCGGATGGGGAGATACTTCTTGTGCACTTTGATTTGCCCCCTGCTTTTTCAGTGCTTAGATATATATTACTTTATTCCATTCTGCCTTTTCGTTCCAGTAAAATCAGACACAGCGCCGGAAAATGCCAACTTCCTAGACGCCTTTCATAATGAAGTGTATATAAGCAATTAAGCTCCTGTCCTCGCAAGGGGGTCTATGCCTCAACCTGCTGTTGTAAACCTGCTGTTGTAAGGATCGCAGCACAAATGAAGAAGATGCAAAATAAACCAAAAGGTGTTGTGGGTATCATCGTAAATAGCAAAAAGCCGTTGACCAGCCTTTCCTCCTGCCTCCCTTTTCCTCCACATTACTCGTGGCCAGTTCCTTCTCTCTCTTCGGAGGACTCCGCAGTAGTGTCTGCAGGTGCCTGCACGTCCACCGTGGGGACAGCAGCACTGCCAGTCATGCTGCCGACCACGCCACCGCTCACTTTCGCGGCCGCCGCTGCCGCGGCCGCCTCCACAGCCGCTGCATCCGCCAGCGCATTCAGGTGCCGCTCGTTGGCCTGCACGGCCCAGCCACAGCGCACCAGCCAAAAGGCCGCAAAGGGTGGCGTCGTCAGCAGCGCCAGGACGCCGCCGAGAATCAGCTTGAAGACGGGCGGCGCCCACGACGACGGACCAAACCACCAGTCGCCGTCGGCACCCTTGTCGCCCACGGCCGTCAGGATGCCAATGGAGACAGGCCACAGCACCATCCACATGAGCACGCCCGCCAGCAGGGCGCGGATGAGCTGGGACACCAAAAACACAGCCCAGTGCTTCCACGAGCCAATCTCGTACTGCTCGCTGTGCTGCTCGCAGCGGCAGTTTTCGTCGTGCGGTGCCGACAGGGGCCGGCGGAGCCCGTCGTCGCCGTTGCTTTTGTTGGCCTCGGCATCGTTTGCCGGCGGTCGGCGGTCGAGCAGCAGGAACCACCGCACAAGGGCATTGGACGGCTCGTGCAAAAAGCCAATGGGCTGGATGTGGCCGGAGCGCAGGTCGCGGTTGACGAGGACGAGCTCAATGAACCAAGTCAGGACGCACTGGATAAAGATGGTGACGGTGGCGTCGCCAGCGAGGGTATTGGGAAACTGGAAGAGGCGAATGGGGTGCTTTTCGACGTTGATGGTTTTGTACATGGCTGGCAGTTGTCAGCAGGAGCGGAGAGTGAGGTGCAATGGAAAAAATGGAAAAAAAAAAACGAGCGGAGCGAGGAAGACAAAACAAAACGTACCGTAGCCAATGGCAAAGTTGATGCCACCCGAGAGCACAAACGCACCCAGGCCGTCGATGCCGAAAATGTAAAAGGCCTGATAAGGTGTCAGGTGGTCACTGGGCTCGCAAATCGTGAGCTTGGGGACCTTGCGCGTCTTGCGACGGCCGACATGCCGACGGCCATGCACGACGCGGTTGGCCGCCTCGGCGAGGATGCCGTGTGGCGCGAGGTGCTGGCTGGGGTCGACCGGGTTGTCGGGGTGGTCTGCATGGTCGGGATGGCCGGCTGGGGCTGGTGCGATGGTAATGGACGGGCGGCCGCTGGCTTGGCCGGCTGGCGGGTGAAGCAGGTCAGTCGATGGCCGGGCGGATGTTGCGTTGCGCGCAACAAGGGAGGCGCGGAAAGCAGCAGCTGTTGCAGTGTCCAGGTCCGCAGACGGCCGTGCCGACGCCAAGGCGGACGGGGCCACGGACGGCGGCATGACAGCCGTGTGGAAGAAGGGGTTCCGATGCCACTTCATGGTGGGCAACCGCGTGGTTTGATTGTGTTGTTTCTTGCCCGTCCTCCAATTTTTTGTGAAACATGCAGCGTGTCGGTCGTTTGTGATTTTCGGTCGAGGTCAAGATGCCATTGTATCAGCCGTACAAGATGCAAAACAGAGCGCAAAGTGAGATAGCTTTGCAAAGCAAAACAATGCGGTTTTCGAAATTGGATGCAACGACGTTCGGAAAGAAAATAACCAGGCCAGGGGGAGGACCCCTAATATGAGCTAGAAAGCGGTACGCATGTGGTGGGCTGAATAATTTCACTGCCGATCCGCTAACACGAACCGAAGCCTAGCGGTCTTGTGGGTATAGCAGCTGCAGTTGCCGTTTACTGGGAGTATTCCATCGCAATCCGTCGCGACAAGTCGCGCACTGGCAGGAAGGCGCAACGCCGAGGATTCCGGGCGCGGCCGGTCATAGTCTTGGCCTTGGAAGGAACGATGTATGGCGACGCACTAGTGGCGTACCACACATATGAGGCTCAAGTAATTGTTGGCTGGTTGTTTATAAAAGCATGTTACATACACGGCAGGCGCGTACGACGTGTATGGCGGCAGATTTGGAAGCCACGGTGTGCCAATTGGAAACAGAAGGAGCAAGACCTACCTACTAACAAAAACAGCTGACGAATTAATTTAGGTTGACACAAGGAAAGCGTTGCCGGAAGAGGCAAAGTAGTACAGAGCAGGCAGGTCCCAAAATACCAATTGGGCAAGAGAGACGCACCACGCTCGGGGCCTTCCGCGTTTCGGCTTGGGGTGGTGCCTGAGTGGATTGGCTTGGCAGATCGCAATGGGATGTTGAGAATGTTTTCGTTTGCACATGTCAGCCAATAGCGTTCCATTTGGAGGTTCTGTTTTTATTATGTGCCTACTCTGGACAGAAAACTACACATCACCGCTCGAAATATAATAACATCACAAAAACGTAAACAGAAAGAAGTAAAGAAACAGACAAGGAAAAAGGCTGATCGAGCCATGTGGGAATATCCCGAAAATCATACACAGTACATAAACAATGAAAAGAAAAGAGAGAAAAGGCCATCCTCCAGGCCATAGTGGTTGGTATCTTGAGCGAATGTCGTGTGGGGAATGCTATTGCATACCCATAAACGGAATGAGAAAAAGGGAAAGACATAAAAAGAAAGTGTCAAAGAAGGACAATAAAGTGGTATAAAAAAAGGTAACAGGAGAAGAAGAAAAAACAAAAGGAAAGAGATAAAGGAAATGAAAGTCATGGTATCAACTCGGCAGGCCTTGTTTGGTAACCTGTAGTTGTTCTTGTTGCATGCATGATGGTTTTTTTTTTTTTTTTTCGTACACTTTTGTATTGTCCCTTACAGGGACTCGCCACTTGACCGACCACGAAGACGCGCAAAGCTGCGCTTGATCCGGAGGCTCAACGACGACGCTTGGTACTGCAGGCGGCGACCCGCCCGAGAGCCCGAGCCGGAACTGGCGGTGCTCACACTAAACGCACTCTCTGAGCTCCGGCGCGTGGCGGACGTCGCCGTCGTCGAGGGCCGGAACGACGCCATGGACACGGGGCTGCGTGGCGGCGTTGCCAGTGCCGCCTCGGCACGCTCAGCCTTGGCCAGTCCGGCGGGCGTCGGGCTCATGCAGCAGGGGCACATGGGGGTTGCCGTCGGCGGGCGGTGCCACATGTGCGAGGGGCTGATGACAGCCTCCTCAAAGATGGGTACGGCATCGGTGGCACGCACCAGGGGACGGTGCCACATGGGCGTCGATGTGACGACGGGGTCGAGGGACATGAGCTGGCCGCCGGGCTGAGAAGGGCGGTGCCACATGGGCGGCGCGGCGTCAACGGCCGGCTCAGCATAGAGGAGTGCGCGGGACCACATTGTGAGGATGACGAGGCGTGTGTGAATGAAAGATACTAGATTGATGTTGACTGAAGGGAAAGAAGAGCTGTTGTGTTGGAGATGCGAGGACAGGAGTGTCTTGGTCAAGAAGGAGACGATGGCCTTGACACGGAAGCGGCCAGACGACCGAGTTATATATGCAAAATATAACTAGACAAGTAGAGACCCCATGAGAGCGATGGGCAGACGGCTGGAAGGGGCAATCTCTTCTTTGACGATCCGCATCCCGCCGAGCCATATGGCTTTGTCTCAACGCACTTGCCTCCTCACAGCCTCCACTCCTCCATCTTCTCGTGAGACTGTTCATGCCGTCCGTGGTCTACCATCCGCACTCCATGAACTTGATAGGTGGTAGTGCAGGAGCGGTGCTTGGATCTCTGTCGTGCAGGTAGTCGCGTCAAGCTTGCCCTCTTTTGTGCAGGCAGTGCCCTGTAGGAGGTCATTCATCAGCATTGCGTCGACGCGGCACTGCATTCGGTCTTTGACTACTGTACTGTCTGTTTCGCGTCCGAGAACAGAGGCACCAGCTGGGAAAAGCCAGGCCTTTCCTGTTTCGTCCAGTACGTCCAGTGTGCCTGATTGATTTGAATGTTTCGTCTTACGCTGTGTCGTGGCGTCTCCGCTCGCATCGCCCTCGGACGAAACAAACAGATTCAGCATCGCACATCAGCCTTCGGATCCTCAGCCGCCAACAGTATGGTGATCCGTATTTTACTCTGCAGCTGAACAAACTTGTCTATTAGCATAACTGCATACGCCAGGGCCTCTTCCCGTTCTGGTACGATATGGCCTCACAAGACGGCCTTTGTCCTCGCATACGACGTTCCTCCGAGTAAATCGTTTCCGAATTCTGACCTTGATACTACTCTACCCCTTCACACATCCGGTTTCTCACCCAAGCGTCGTCCAACGTCAAAAAGGTCAGTGTGGTACCTTGCGTCAGGTTGCATCGCGCATCGGTACATGGTCCGAACGCTTGTCAAGGCGTGCGGGGGATGGGTGGACAAGTACTCGACACCGCTCGGGGCGTTGTTGTCTGACAGCTTGTTCTATACCACGTTCGTCATTTTAATAAGCTTTTCTGCCTGCAGGCTCGTCCTTTTTAGAGAGAGTACCGGCAGGTAAAATGTAGAGCGCAGGGCCTGGACAGAACAGAGCAAGTGATATATAAAACCCTCCGGGGCGATAGAAAGCTCTGCCAGGTACCTGCTTTGGAAGTAATTGGATTCACATCTCGCTTCATTACTGTATGTAGATCCTGCTTTCACAACAAAGAGTCCATCTGGTGATCATGGCAAGGGTCATGGAGCTGGCCATACGCACAAAAAGGTTGTCTCTTGAGCCTCCGCATTCTAAACGACAACCCCTGGAAGTCAATGGGACGGCAGAGGAGATGATCATCGGCAGTCGAAATATTGCCACGCCCCTCACGTCCCTCTCTATCCCAAGCTTGGTTCTGGACACGGGCCTTGAGGAGAGAAAGGGTCTGTTTGGTTGCATTGATGTCAGCAGTGTTCCTCTGGATGCAGTCTGTGTAAGGTCGTACTCAGTATAGCATATTGCAGAAGACGGCCAGATAAATTACGGTGTGATGAAATGATTACGAAGTAGCAGTAAATACGTCGTAATTACTTTGCACTATTTTGCTGAAGACTTTTTCGCCAGTAAAATATGAAATTGTGGCAATCCAGATCTTGTGGTTGTTTCAGACCAAGACACAGACATTTCCCGTCATCAAATTTCTTTTTCTTTTTCCTTTCTGGCATTTCTGGCGGCAAGGAAACCTAAACCCTTTAAGAAAAATAACTAAACATGGGGTTCAATAAACGCTAGGATAGTCGAAACAACAAACTGAAAGAATAGTCGCAGGACATTGAGGCAACTCCTAAACCCGCAATGACGGTGAGACCAGGGTGTAAGGTAGATGGGTGGCGATCCAAACGCAACCCCAAACACGGCAAAGGAGGCAAAGGATTATGATGCACACGAAAGGGGACAGAATCGTAAAAGTGTATGTTCTAAGTGCATATTAGATATTAGCCGGGGTTTCTCCATCGCATGCTTCAAAGTTCATGGCGTAATAAAACCGGAAGCCCTCTCAAAAAGGCGTCAGTGACGAGGGGGGCCCCGTGCGGTGATAGACCTCAACATTGACCAGGGATGGCAATTGGTGCGCCTCATCTACCACATAAGCTGTCGCCATTTTTGCCATTGCCCACAGCCCCTGTCTTCCACAATCTCCATTATGAATCGATGTTCACGGCGTCCGTTAAAAAGTGCTTGCCTCGCATACATATGTGCACACAGTATTTGAAGCATTTTGTGACCGCATGGCGCCCCAGAAATTGGGACTCGTCATAGGTTGAAAATCGCAGCCAACACGGAGGCCACTGCTGTGGCGAGATCGCCCCAACAGCAAAGCCCCTCGGACCTGCAGCAAGCTCAGACTCTGGTCCGAGCGCAGTTGAGCGACCGTTGTGCCTGGCACATCGACGCCACTCCCGTCGTTCGTCTCGAGGTTCGTTCCCCGTTTGTGTTGCCTCGGCCCAGGATTGTCAAAGAGTCGACTTTCAAATTTTGTGATAGCAACAAGATGCCTTGTCCTTGTCCATGTACGTCGTATTCCATCCCGCCTCTGTCTTATGCTCCGAGAAGGACACTCTGCCCAGCTGGGCATCGGCTTGCTCCGGATTGAGAGGTAGGAACGGCGCCGACCGGCATTCTGACCGCCTCCCGTTTCCGATTGTTAGAGAAACGGCCTCCGATCACGGGGACTGTGGGCGGGCCTGGTGAGCTGGATCGGGACTGTCTCACAGGATTCATCAACAAAGCCCCCAAAGCGAAAATGCTCTCCATGAGATCGTAGCTCAATAAGCGCTGGTCTGGGCCCGAACTTCCTGGAGCCGCTCACAAACTTGGCCGTTCGCGTGGCGCTGTGGGCTGGCTGCGCTATGCCACAAGACTTCCCGATGTGTTTGCAAGCTGTTGTTGCTGGAGAGTCGACATGCTGCACCAATCGTTGACAGCTAGCCCATCAATAATGGCCTTGATGCGATTCGTCCTCGTATGGGCATTCTCCCGATTTGTTTGTTTTCATGCATTCCTCGCGGCTTCCTCTTTTGGCTTCTCACTTTGCGGAGCATAGCTTAGCTGTATCGCCCTCGGGCGGGAAGGCGCGATGGTGTACACCAATGCAAGGAGGCAACCACCACTTCAAAAAACGACTCCGAACCTGCGCGAGTGCGAAAACAGACACGAGGGCAAGAGCGACCAGCGTTAATAAGGAAAGAGCATGTTGATTACGCGTACTTTGCTCTCGGCGCCTTCAACAATTGGCAGGAGCGACTGCTCTTGGCTCTCTTGGACTTTCCGTGAACTCTGTCGGGACGTCTTGGCTGGGCCTTGGCCATATTCTGCCTCCCCGTCCACCATCAGAATGTTCTTCTCTCTTGCATCCCTCCTTTATCATTCGAGGCCGTCCCAGGCATCTCCTTGAGAATCGAGCTGAACACTCTGTACGCACCAGTGGTTGGTGCCTTCTCACTCGGGCACGTTGTCGTTCCTTCCTGTTTTGACTTATAGACCCATAGTCTCCTTTTTTCCCCCTTCTATTCGACAAATCCTCACGACTTTCTTTCTTCAACAAAAACAATTCTCGAGCTTTAATTTGCTTCGAAATTCGGACATCTCAGACGCAGCGAACCCCCCGACAATACGGGTTACTACACCTAAACCACAAAGTCCGCCCGCCGACCGGGGCGCTGCCTATTTGGTTAGATTGACTCAATTGGGGAATTCGCCCCAAAAGTACGGAGCCTTCGACCGGGATCACTTCGTTCCGCTGCAGATCACTGGAGAAAAACACTCGAACTTTCCTTACAATCCGCCCTTCTGTACGACATATTACGGACGTATGCTGCATCCTCGACGCCCGGAAACGTCTTTCGCCTGCCTCTGGCTCATGAACATTTCGTCTTGCCTTCGTCTTCGTCATCGGGCGTAGCTCTTGGTTGCTCCACAGAGATTACTGGCGGCGTGGACAAGAAAAGGGTCGGCTCGAATCTTCTCCCGCTTCCCGATTTACGCTTCTCAACACGCGTGCTCATTTTTAACTCTCGCTGTTGTTGCTTCGTTTCTGCTTTTGTTGATTTGCCTCTTCTTCCTATGATAATCTGTCAATAGAACAACTGCATCAATTCCGACTGCCCCAACTGAGTCTGCATCGTAGATCGATGCGACTTTCTACGACATCCCCGACAACCAATCCGAAACGGACCCCTGCGTGACGATCGCCACGCTCGCTCGAAACGGCCTACATACACGACACCGCGTGGCAATTCCAACAACACTCGCTTCTTGTGACTGCAACTTGACGACACTTCACTATCGCGATCGCTCTTGCAATATACATTGCAGAAAAAACAACACATGGCGCCCTCCTAAATCCCGAACCTTCCGTTGTCCCCGCTACGTCCACTTGGATCCAGGACTCTACCAAACCTTCCCGTCCCCAAGGACCGGAACCGCTTTTTCACCATGGGCGCCGGCCTCTTCTTCCGTCAGGTCTGGACGCTCTCTGCCAAGAACATACGCATTGTCTTGATCCGGAATCCGCTCGCTACCGTCATCCGCGCTTTCGTTATCCCTCTCATCCTCTTCGCCTTCTTCTCCTTTGCCAAGTACCTCTTCGTCCCTCCAGCTGTCTTTGGCGTCGGTACCCTCAAGCCGCTGTTGTCCCTCTCCGATGCCCTCGCCGATGCCGCTATTACCGGTCGACGCACCGTCGCATTCTACAATGGAGGATTTGGCGGCGGTGCCATTGACGCCGTCATTGACAGCGTCGCCGCCCAGGTCGAGCAGGCCGGCAGCATCGCCGTCCGTCTGGCCAATGAATCTCAGATCGAGACCGTCTGCCACAGCAGCCTGCGCGGCGTGACCACGTGTTATGGCGCTGTGTTCTTCGTTGCGTCGCCCAACGA